GAGCACAGACCAGGCCCTGGTTGCTACTGCCCAGGGGGAAAAGGCATCTTGGACTACATCTATGTTGCTTCCTTCTTGCCAAACCCCTGCCTCTCCATTTGGGGACCCCGCCCCTCCCCACCAATCAACCAATGACAAACACCACACACTGTATTACTACACTGAACCGTCGGCTCCTATGGTGAGCAACCCATAGCCAGAGTCTAGGTCTCCTTGGCTGGGACCAGTTCAGTGAGATCTAGGAACCTTGGGATACATCAATCACAGATAATTATAATTTTAAAATGTCAGCTTCATACTTACCAGCACTGTTTATTTTAATATGTTTCCCGTTATATGCAATATACATAACTTAAAAGCACATCCATACACATCTCCTACAAGCTGCACTTTCATAGCGAGAACCCAGAACTTCCCTTCCTGTGGCTTGGTTTTCTGTTCTTGCTTTCTTGTCTTTTTCGCGTTTCAAATGAGAGTCATCTGCCGTGGCCCTCGGCAGGACCAGGACACAGAGGGTGGAGGGTGCAGGGTTGGGCGGGAGGGAGGAGAGAGCTAAGACAGAAAATGACAAGACTTCTGACTGAGGGGGGGTGAGGGGGGGTGGAAAAGAAAAAAGGTGGATTTTGCAGCCCAGTGTCAAGACCCAAAAAATAATAATCCAGTGTTCCTCCTCCTCCTTTCCAAGTAGGGAATTCTCTTTCTGTCTCGGAAAACGGTTGACGGTGCGTGTCTTGCTGCTGCAACTTATCTTACTTTGCTGCAAAAGGGTTGTTTTTTTTTTTCCTTTGCACTTGAGTGGGCAACAGATGCTGGAGAAGAACAAATGGAATGTGTGCCCACCAGATGTAACGTGCAGAACCAGGGTCATACTGTACTTCTACAATCATCGTGGTCTGGCTTGCTTTCGCCGTTCCGTAGGGCTTCGAAGAGGGAAGGAGCAAGGGATTACTGTCCTTATAATTTTTTTTTTTCCTGAAAAATCCCACCAATTCTTCAATTTGTCTGCAAAGGAAATGTAGGTGTTCAAATGTTGGCTGTTGCTGTTTGGTCGACTGCTCGGCCAGCCCGGGCAGCAGTGCAAGGACGCAGTGTTTCCTGTATATATATCTATATCTCTATATATCTATATATATATATGCTTCTTCTTTCCCAGTCTCTCATCAGTGACAGTACGTCGAAGCTGGGATGTCGGTGTTGAGTCGGAGAATCCAGAACGAAGGCCCCTTCTTAATGGGTCTCTGGCTTGGGTTGGACCAGAAACGCCAGCATCTCTTCACAGAGGTCAGGAGTCCTGGAGCCAGAGTTGTGGGGGGGAAGGGGACACAAAGGAAGGAGGGAGGACAAGAAAAGTCAGTCACGTTGTTACCCATCTTTAAATACATGGCGAGAGGCTGTTTCAGCTAGCCTTTATCACATGTCCTTTACTAGGGCTCAGGAAGACAGAGTGTGACCTGTCTAAGGCCACACAGCTTGTAAGTGGCAGCTGAGATCTGAACCTGCATCTATCTGATCTAGCCAAAGCCCATGTTTGTTTGCTTGTGTGTTTCCAGGGAGGTGGTTTCTCTTCTTTTGGCCTGAAAATGTGTCCAGGTTTCCTTTAACACTGAGAAGCTAGGATCACACTCATTTCATTTTTCCTTCCTACCTTCTCTCAGTTCTAAGAAATGTCTAGCTGTGATTATAGACGTTCTTTTCTTGTTTGTTTTTTCCTTCCTGTTCTCCATGGGCCTGCTGTGTCCTGGGAATTAAACCCCAGAGAGCAGTGTTTAAATAAAGAAACTGGAGCCTGGATCCCAACTCAGATTCGACTCCAAAACTTAGTGGTTAAGGGGCATGGGCTCTGCAATACTGAATCCTGAGTTCAAATCCTACTGTGTGGCCGACTAGCTCTGTAATCGTGGGCAAGTTTCTTAACCTCTTCCGACCTCAGTTGCTCCCTCTGTAAAATGGGTCCTGCCTCATGCAGTTATAGGGATTCAAAACAAGGACTGACATATATTAAGTGCTAAATAAATACTGGCTGCTCTTGTTATGACTACTGTTGTTAATTTAACCACATACTATTCTGATCGCCTTGAGGTCGAGCTGTTTTTTACTTATTGTTGTCTTTCCAGCGCCCACCTAGCAAGAGCAACTACCCAAAACTATAACAGGTGGCATATCACTCCTGCCTTTTATCACTCACATATGGCCAAATGCTAATCAAGTCATATAAATGCGATCGTTCTCAGCTCATTTAACAGATGGGAAAACTGAGGCCCAGGTTCAATGACTTAGCAAGTTGGTTAGAACCCAAGACTTCTGCGTGGGAACGGGTCAATTACTTTGTTTTCCCATTTAATTAACACTTGGAGGGTAAGAGAGCTCTAGGAAGCTGTGTGAGTGCCAGCTGCTTGCTGGCAGGGCTTGGGAGACAGGTCCTGCTTGAAGGAAGTGGGCCAGTGGGAGACGATGAAGCAGAAGCCACACATCTGGCCTGCGAGGCTGCAGAGAAGAGCTTTGTGTGAGACGAGTGTGCTTTCCACACTCACAGCAAGAGCTTCAAGGAGGAAGGGCTTCCAGAAGGAAGGCTGAATCAACAGGGGCAGGGACAGATGTTTCTGGAGGGTCCAGGGAGGGAAGAGAAGATGAAGACCAGCAAGATGGACACCCACATGGAAACAGTGTCTTGTGCACCAGGCTGGTGGTGGGGGTTTATGGTCCGACTGACTCGGGACTCTCCTCATCCCTAAACAGGCAAAACCCCGAGGGGACAAGGAAGCAGGTTCACACTGCTCAGCACCTTATGTATGTGAGATGCCGCCCTGGTGGTCACTGCTGATGACTTCATGTTTATGCCCCCCGACCCCACCCCCACCCCATCCCGTCAATTCACATGTTGAAGCTCTAGTCCTCAAGTGATGGCATTTGGAGGTTGGGCCTTTGAACATAAGGGTGGAGTCCTCATAAATGGGATTAGCGCCCTTATAAGAAGAGATGTAAGAGTGATTATCTCTTGCTCTGCTCTTGGCCACGTAAGGACACATAGAGAAGATGGCTGTCTGCAAACCAGGAAGTGGGCTCTCTCCGGGAACTGAACTGGCCAGCACCTTGATCTTGGGCTTCCCAGCCCCTCTAACTGTGAGAAGTAAGTGTATGTTATTTAAGCCACCCAGCCTATGGTCTTGTGTTGTAGCAGCCTGAACTAAGACAGTCACAGATGTTGTTGAATTATTACAGCAACCCCAATGTATAGATGAACTCCATTAACTCAGATGAGGAAACAGCCCCAGGGAGGTTCCTCTGGGCACACTGCTAGCAAGGTGTTGCTGGCTTGAAAGCCTGGGTGTATTCTTTCTGCTCAATCCGCTACTTCCTGGGGAGTTTTGTCTTACGCGGTAGGCTGCACTTTAAGTTTGTTCACTGACTCATAAAGCTCCTGCCCCATAGCTGAGCGTACATGGGATTCTGGGTCCGTGGGATAGCTTCAAAAGCCCACAGACATTTCAGAAATACCAGCGACACCTAAAGACTATCATATTATAAATTAGTCTTCTTGGTTTATTACAGCATTTTGTTAGCCTACTTTGAGTTAATAGTAGTAATAGTCACAATTAGCTTTCATTGAGCACTTACTAAGTGCCAGGCACTGTACTAACTACCGTATACGTATGAAGGCAATAGAGACGATGAAAAGTCAGTGTAGTGAGGAGGTTAAGACCACAGGGCAGATTTGGAGTCTAACAGAGGAGGTTTGACTCTAATGAATCCATCATGCTCCCAGTTCTATGACTATAAGCAAGTCACCTAATGTCCGAGTCTCAGCATCTTCATTTGTAAAATGAATGAGCAGATAACAGGACTTATGTTGACTGCACAGCCTTGTGCCTGAAACAGAGTAGGAACCCCATAAATTATAGCAATCATTACTACTGTGTCTGTCACCGCCACTTGGCTGATGAGGAAACAGGGATGAGAAGGTTAAATAACTTGCTCGAAGTCATGCAGCTAATAACAGGCACAACTGAGACTGGAATCCAGGTCTGCAGGACCACAGAGCTCTTCCTCGGGGAACCAAGATGCATCCATCCATGAAACCAGTACTTATCAAGCACCTTCAAAAGGAGTGTCCTAATTCCCAGAAGATCTCTTCCCCAGAATTAGTGAGTCTGACTACATTAAAAGTCAGAGGTGGCTCCTCCTTGGTGATAATGAATGTGAAGCATGTGGGATGAAAAAGCAAGGGAGAAACTTCTGCCTCTCCAGGGCAACATAAACAAGGTGACCTTTACGGAAGGATGAGAGAGAGAGAGAGAGAGAATGGTGGTGCGTGGGACAATGGCATCAAAGAAAGAACGAAAAGAGGGGCAAGAAGGAGGGAATGAGTCGAGGGAGCAGTGAGGTGGGCAGATGTGAAAGACTGCATGGTGCTGGGTGGGCAGGTGTGGAGGCTGCGGCAAGAGCTCTGAATGGCCGGGAAGACGGGCAGGCGGGAGCCTGGGGGGACTGGCTGGTCATGGCCCCGGGAAAGGTGAGAAGAAATGAGGCAGGGAAGGGGCAAGATATGACAGACACATGACAGACACTCTAGGAAAGTAACTAAAAAGCCAGAGGACTATGACTGGATGGGGGCTTGCCCCAAACTAACCCGTGGTCACACACCCAGTCAGCGGGATGGCTGGGACGGGAGCCAGGTCCCTGGATTCCCAGCACAGTGTTCTTTGCATCAGTGGCTCCTCCACCTGGCTGCACATGAACTTCCGAAGGACCAAGGTATAACTAAATCCTCAGGTCCCGGCCCAGTGCTTCTAAGTCAGACTTGATGGCAAGTTTTCTAGTACCTGTATCCCCAGGTGATACTGCCAACTCAGCACCAGCTTGGTAAGTGACCTACACTCTACCACTCTGAGATCTGGGGATTGGACAACTGAGGAGACGGAAGTGACAGTCACTTGCATGGAAGTCTGAGGAAAGCTGGGAAATAGGCTCCACCCATGACCACTTCAAGACCAGCGCTGTCCAATAGAAACAGAGTGAGAGCCACATACGGAAACTTTTCGTTTTCTAGAAAACAGATTTTCTAGACAATGTTTTTGACATTTTTCAGCTATTTCTAGTTTTCTAAAATTTTTAGATAAATAAAAAATTGTAATTTCTATTAAAAACAGTAAAAAGAGGTGAAATTAATTTTAATAATATATTTTACTTAACCCAGCATACCCATATATTATCATTTCAACATGTAAGCAGTATGAACATTATAGAGATATATTACTTTCTTTTTTTCCTATTAAATCTTCAAAATCCTGCACGTATTTTACCGCGAAAGCACATCTCATTTTGGATTAGCCAATTTCAAGGGCTCAATAGCCTAGACTTGTGGCTCCCATACTGCAAGCACAGAAAAACCATTTCCATCATTACAGAAAGTTCTATTGGACAACACAGTCTAGGCCAGGGTTTAGCAATCTTTCAAAGTGGAAGGAAAATGTTTCAGTGCTTTTTCTGACACAAAGCGGGTGGTCACCAAAGGAAGAGAAAGAAACACTCTTCGTCTTTCTAGAAGGCATGGCGTTCATTCACCAGGGAAGAGCGCAAAAGGAGGCTTGCTGTTTGTGAGGGTCTTTGAGGCAGATTTTTGTTTTCATTGTGCTATGACGTGAAATGTGTCAAGTGCACAAATCTAAGTGTAGAGCTCGACAAATTTTTATATATGTATAAACGCATGTAACCCACCCAGTTCAAGATGCTGATGTTTTCAGCACCCCAGGAGGTTCCCTTGGAACTCTGCACTGTCAATAGCACATCCCAGAAGTAACCACTAGTCTGATTTTTATCATCATTGAATAGTTTTGCCTGTTTCTGAACTTCCTATGAATGGACTCAAACAGTATATACCTTCTGTGTCTGACTTATTTCAGTCAGCTCAATGTCTGTTGAGATTTTGTTTTATAGGTCTGATGAATTTCAGTCAATTTCCAGAGGGACCAGAAGAACTTTTCCAGTTTATACCAATGACAGCCCTATCTGCCGTAGCACCATCTCACATTCCTCGTATTCACCAAGGTCCTGATGGCCGATAGGGAGAAAGAAAAATACTGGGGCACCTAGGATTCTCGCCCCAGGGGCCTGAAAAGTCAAGGGTTTGCCATCTAGCAAGACAGATGGGATCAAGGGCTCTGGTCATCACAGCCCCCACCGCCTTAGCGACATCCAGTGACCTGTGATGGAGACGGCAACTCTGGGACAGGAATGTGGCACTGGGCCTGGTGGGACTCTTTTTGATTTCCAGCTCCTAAGCAGTGGCCAGTGAGGTTCCACTTGCTTCCGTGTCCCACTTCAGTACCCACTGTCAATCCTCTCTCACCTTTTCTTACCACTTCTAGATTCACTTTTCTGGATCTGGGGCCTGAAACCCCAAAGCAGCCAAGCAGCCAGCCTTCTTTCCCACTGTGATTAGTTGTATCTGGGGTCAAAGCTGTGCCAGGGACGGAGCCACGTGATGGGTTCTCAGATGGAAATGACCCTTAGAGGATCTTGCCACAGGATCTAGAGCATTCCCTCCTCCCTCTCATGGCTGCTGAGCCTCATGAGCCCTACCTGCGGCTTCTTGTCCCTGTCCTCTGGGGATGGGTCTGTTTCTCTGTATACGACAGCTTTGGTTACCAGCATGTCAGGATGCTGCAGTTTGGCCTCCTTGATGGCTAAAGCCAGGGCCTGGTGGAAAAGAAGAGCAAAAGTGAGAAACCACAGAATATCAAATACGGAATAGACCATGGAGACCAATAAGCTGCTCAGTGCACAGCTAAGGAAACACAGAGTTTAACTCTTTGTGGTCAAAGAGTTAAAAGGAAAGACTAGAGCTTGGGTCCTCTGGCTCCTTCTGGCTCCCACTCGATGCCCCTTCCTCGGGGGCCCCTTGTCTGGACAGGATCAGCAGGAAGTGAACATCTTCACAGCCCACCAGGGCAGCCATCCATGGGGAACTCAATATGGGGGTTGGGGACTGAGCAGTGCCACTGGAATAATATTCCTTATCTCCATACCTGGTCTTGATCAACATCTTCATCCCCAGTAATAATGATTCGCTTCTCGATCCTCGTTTCAGAAAACCCTCCTTTCACAGTCTGCAGAGGTAGAGGAAGGCAAGGTCAGCCTTCGGTCCTGCTGGGGCAGCAGCCGCAACAGGGGACCTATCCAAAGATCGCTCAAGGGCACAGCTGGAACCAGCAGTCACCTTGTCTCCTGACTCCCTCAGTTTTTTCCTTTTCTAGTTTTGGACATCAGACTGTAGGTCTTGCCTGATGGCCACCACTGTCCCTACTACCAAACTGCCCCCTCTAGGTCTTCCAAGCCCAGATCACATGTTGCCTCTGTCCTCCTGACCCTGGTTGGTGATCCTTCCGCCTTCCTGCCTCAGTACTTCCCGAGCACCAGGGTTCTTATCGCTCATGGTTCTGGGACTCTCTGCCCTGTGCTGACCTTGTGTGGGACCTGGCCTTGCTCAGTAGGCTGGAGCTCTTGAAGGCAGGGTCTGTCTTTTGTTCATTTCTCTATCCCCTCCTCCCCCACTCCTCTGTCCAGCCTGACCAGGGCAGGTGTTAAATGCAGATCTGTTGAATGAACACATGAATGAAATGTGAATGGTGACAAGGTTCTACCTTCAAACAACACTACAAGAGAAATTTCGTGGATGATACCGATAACCACCACTGTTTCGTGAAGAGGCGGATTTGGGTGTGAGCTTAGAAGCAGAAATGGGGCAGGACCTAATTGCTTGGCACATTAAAGGAGGGTGGTGAATGAGGGAAGTCCCAGCTGGAGTCAGGAGTGGACAGAAAAAAAGAGGAGGTTCCCAGTTGGCAGGGCCAGGAGGAACTTGGGGAATAAGGGTCTTCTGAGCTGTATGCAGTGGGGTGTGTGATAGAAAACCTTCCCATAAGGCTTTCAGGGAAGTCAACATTGCTCACTTATGCTTTTGGTGACAGTGGGTGCTCTCTGGGGACTGTGCAGAAGTGCTGAGTCCTACATAGGAGGGAGTAGGGCTACGGCTGTATGTATAAAGGGCCACTGCCACCTACCAGACTTCTTCGGATGGCTCAGCAGAACCTACAACTCAACCTGGCTCCCTGGCCTCTCTCCTTCAGGCCTCCAGCTCCGGTCTAGAACTCCTTCTGCCTCCCCCGGCCATGCAGGCGCAGATGTGCCAGCCTGTCCTCAGCTCTCTGTCTTCCTTGGCTGAGTCACGGCTGACGCATCAGGAATGCCATCCTTTCTGGGCCTTTTCCTTCTCCAACTCTGACTCCCACCCTGGTCCAGGCCCTCCATCCCTCATCTCTCTATAACTCATTCTCTCCTTTCTCCCATGCACCTGCACATCCGGGGGAACCCAATCTCCTCTCCTTAAACCTCTTTTCACTGGGTCACACCCCAGCGAAGACACCTTAATGGCTTTCCCACGGCTCTCAGACTCAGGCCCTCCATCGCTACATCTGTCTTGGGATGTGTCTTATTTGTCTCTCTTCTGCTTCCCCTAGCCAACCTGTCCAACCTGATTTCCCACAGTTACGTCCCTACGTGCTGCTTCCTCCTGGCAGAGGCCACGGCTCCCGTTTCCCACCACATGCATTACTTACAGCCCCTGGGGCAGCCCCTTGCACAGAGGCCGGCATAAGGTGGACGCTCACTAACATTTGCTCAGTGAAGGAAGAAGCAAACACACAGTTTCTGCTCTCATCTTCTGCATTGTGTAGAACGTCTGCCTCTGCCTTCTCCTCCCTCACAAGTCCTACCTGACTTTCCAAGACCCCGCACAAAACCCACTTTTTCCAGAAGACCCTTCCTCACACTTTGAGCCTTCCTTATATTCCCCCCCCCCACCCCCGCTCCAAATCCCTCCAGCACTTAAGGTCTATAAGGTGCAAATGCCAGTGGTTCACAATTACATCCAAGGAGATGGCCTCATCCCCCAAGCCTGGCTGTCAATCAACATTGAAGGGCAGGTCCGTGCCTAGGACAACCCATAACACAGAACAAAGCGCACAGCACTCCAGGAACTGGGAACACCACGGGTCTTCTCTGTCCATGTTACAAGGCAGAGCAATGGCAATGACCTTCCGGAGCCCCACAGCCAGGCTGGGGGCATAGGACACCCTGCTGCTACTCACTTTGGTAACATGGGTGGTGGTGGAGGTGGAGAGGGTTTCCGCAGTGGCGCCGTAGGTGCTGGTGAGGACATCTTTCCCGATGATCTGCAGAATATAACCACCCCCACCCCGGGGTCAGGTGAGGGCGCTGGGCTCGGTGGGGTGGGGGTGGGGTGGGGTAAACCAAGGGACGAGTAGGGGGTCCCATGAAGGTGAAGTTTGGAAGGCAAGATGCGAGAAACCACTGAGTCTAAGAATTCAGGAATACTGGAATCTTCAGAATGCTAGACCCATGAAATTCTCAAACCCTGGAATCTAAGATTCCTAGAACCTGAGATTCCTGAGGCCCAGAATCCTAACAAGACCCTAGAATTTAAGAACCCTGGCATCTTAGAAGAATGAACCGGGGGATCCAAGGTGAAAACAGAGCCCTCTCGATCCCCCACCCTGTCAGAGCCTGGAATGTGCTCTCCGGGGCTAAATGATGACAATGACAGATCCAGAGGGTGCAGAGGTAGGTTAGGCTCACAGGGCAGCCACCAACAGAGCCAGGTCCAGAACCCAAGCCTCTGGACTCCTGGTCCATTGCGCCTCCTGGTCAGTCAGGAGTGCAGATTCAATAGAGCTGTCACATTACAGGTGCCACCAAGGAGAGGGGCTGCTTCACCCCCACACTGCCAATGCCCTTCTGCTGTGTGTGTGTGTGTGTGTGTGTGTGTATGAGGGGGTTGGAGGGCAACGGATAGACTCTGGCGGGCACCAGAAACCCTATGGGTCTCTGAAAACGATGCAGCTTCCTGCTACTGCACTTAAAGGGCAGCCTTCTGGGCTCCACGCAGCCCTTGCTGCGGGCCGGTGGCGGACACAGGTCCGCATTCTCAGTGTGGCGTCCCCTAGCCTGAGCTGGCCCTGCCCACTTACCGGAGAAAGAGAACGGATTTCCGTGGCCACCGTCTGTGGGCCTGGGATCATGGCAGCTGCCCCCTTCCCGGACTTGAGACTGTTCTCCTGGGGAAACAATAGTGCTCAGATGGCCAGGTCTCAGGTGGGCAGGCCCCCAGGATGGCTGGAGCGCGTGGCCATGTAGCTCTCACAGCCACAAAGTGGAGTTGTGACATTAGAAGCAGAGAGCCGAAGGCAGCCTTCAGTGCAATCTCCTCTCATTTGTCACACACTCACTTATTCATTCACACGCTTACACACTCGCTCACTCACATGCTTACACACTTACACACACTCATTCATTCAACAAACACTTACAGAGTGCATGGCATCAGGGACACTGTGGTGAACAAGACACAGTATTGCTTCCTGGAAGCACGAACCAAAGAGTTGGGACATTCAGGTTCTCATCCTGGCCCTGCCACATTCTAGCCACGTGACCTGAGGCACAGCCTCTTCCCCTCCATGGGCCCCATGGATTTAAAAGGGGGACCCCTGCAGTACAGGCTCATCAGTGGTAACCAACGTCCCTCTCTTGTGGGCAATGCTGATAATGGGGGAAACTGTGCAAAAGTGGGGGTAGGGAGTATTATGGGAAATCTCTGTACCTTCCTCTCAATTTTGCTGTGAATCTAAAACTGCTCTATAATAAAGTCTTAAGTTATTTTTTTTTAAAGGGACCCCTGCCCCACTCCCACAGAGACATAATGAGGATAATGGAGGAGAAAGGGCTTTGCGATCGGAAATCTAGAGGATAAATATAAGAGTATAGGTTAGGTATTAACATAACAATAACTATTGTTTTCTGAGTACTTGCTATGCACTGGGTATTATCCTAAGGATGCATTATCTCATTTAATCCTCAGAATGAATCCTTTTAATATTCTTGTTTTCTAGATGAGAAACTGCAGGGCCAGAGAATGTTAAGTGGCTTGTGCGAGTCCTCCAGCAAGTTAGTGAGAGAACCCGGGTTCAGATCCACGTTCGTCAGACTCCAAGTCCAACACGCTCCTTCGGTAACACCATGCTGCCCTCAGAACCCTAACCCTTGAGCCACTCCTCCTGGTCCTACATTGGATTCTGACTCCTAGATAATCCTGGAATTGGGCGCAGATGTACTGGCTCACATCTAGCAAGGGGCCTAGCCGACGGCCTGACTCTCATCCCACTTTCTGGACCATCTCAGGGATCAGCCTTGTCTATCCAGGGCCCAGAGCTGTGCAGTCCAGCGGGCTGATCCTGGTCCTGGTCTGTGTGTGGTACTAGACCTGGACCTCTGCCTGCCAGGGCGTGGGTGAGGACAGAGCCCTATGCCTTTGCCCTGCCTGCTCCCCACGCCTTCCTCCAGCTGAGGTCATCAGTGACCTGGTCACCTGGCACTCCATCCATGAGCAACTTCCTCAGATGGAGTCCAAAAATGTGGCATCAGCAGCAGGTCTTGAAAGGACAGCCTTCCAGGTGCAACCCTTCCTTTCTCCTGGCTTAGGAAACGGCCACTAGCCACTCTGAGTCCTACTGTCACGCCAGGCCATTCTCTTCTGCCACGGCTTCCTTTTCCCCAGGCAAAGCCTCACCTCTGCCTCCACCCTGAAAACAGAGGCCATAGATGGGGACACAGGTCCTTCAAAACAAGGCTCCATCTGTTCCATCTCTTCCACTTGCCTCTCCTGCATCTTGGACAGTCCTGTCTCCCTCCTCAAGGAGGGGCAGCTCCTCTCCTGACCAGGGCAATGTCACCATCTCTGCCCTGGGCCCTTCCTCCCACCTACTCAGGGCTCCCCACCTAACCATCCTCTCTCTGGGCCACGTCAGCCACTCAAGGCTTCCTCATCAAGGCTACTGTCCCCAACCCTTTAGCTGTAGCCCAGATCTTTCTTGAACCCTAGACCTTTAAAACCAATTGTGTCCTAGACATTTTCGCCTGGAAATGTCCCATGGGCATCTCAGACTCAGCAGATCCAACGTGAAATTTGCAGCCTCCTTCTGCCCCCGACACATATCTGCCACGACAGAGCACTCCCTCCCATGCTCTGTCTGTATCAGTGCCTCTCAGACTTGAGGGGTATCACCTGGAGGGCTTGTGAAAGCACAGACCGCTGGAGCCCACCCCAGAGTTCCTGAGTCAATAGGTCTGGGGCGGGACCTGAGAATCTGCCTTACTAACAGGCGCCCAGGACCGTACTTTGAGAAGAGCGGGGCTAGGGAGCAGTGTCACCAGCCCATGGTTTCTCCTGTCACCTGAAGAGTCTATCAATGACCAAATCCTGCACTTTTCTCCTCCAGGCATCCCTGAACCCTGTCTCTCCCCTCAGCACCCATCTCCTCACGCTCTGGCCCTGCAGCAGCCCCTGAACTAGCCCCCTGCCTTCTCTTTCGGTTTCTCCTGATGGCACGTGGGCTCAGGGCCACTGTCTGTCTCCTTCAGCGCTGGATTCCCAGTGCCTGGCACAGTACTTCACACAGCGTGGGTGTTCAGTAAATATTTGCTGAAGGAAGAAGGAAGGGAGGAAAGGGGGGAAGAAAAAGAAGAAGAAGAAAAAAAAAGGAGCCATGCCCCAAGGGAGGAGATGTTTGCTTCAGTCATGTTCCAAAGAGGTTGCTAGCATCATCTTTCTAAAACACAGACACACATATTTTGATGACATCATGGCCCTACTCAAAAATTCAAGTGGTTCTCAATGACCTCCAGTTTGAACTTCATACGTGACATCTGAGGCCCTTCAAGCCCTGGCCCGGCCTTCCTTTCCAGCCTCTTCACCCTGTTTCTCCCCCACGAACTTGACCACTCACTTCACTGACCAGGTGCTACGCTCCTTCACAGCTGCCTTTGCACCTGCTGTGCCCACTGCCTGCAATGCCTTCTCCCATGATTGCACCTTAATTTATCCTTCAAGCATAGCTCAGATGTCACTGCTTAAAGCCATCTCCAGCTTCTATGGTGTCACCCATACCTCTTCTCCCCGTGCTCCCTAGGAGAGCATTATGACACTGTTCCATGAAGACAGAAAAAAAAAAAACAGCTGCATACATTACAGACCACTTACTCTCTTCTGAGAGCTTTGCACAGACTACCTTCGTCCTCACATCAACATTTTGAAGGATGTGCTATTATTGCCCCTCGCCCCATTTGACAGAAATGGAAACTGAGGTTTGGAGAGGTTCAGGTAAGTTGCCCAAGGAAGTCATCGAGCCAGGAAGTGGGAGAGCTGAGCCTTGTTCACCACTGTGTGCCCAGGACCTAAACCCAGGGCCACAGCACACGGAATGTGCCTGCGATTATTACTTGGACAAATGAATTCTAGCAAGCTTATCTTTGCTTCAACTCTGTATCCCTGTGCTGGGCAGATTAGAGACTAAGAAATGTTTTTGGAATAAATGAATGAGATGGATGGATGAATGGATGGGTGAGTAAATGAATGCTGTAACTGCCTGCTCACCATCGTACGAATTTAAATTTAGCCCTGTAAACCTCCTGATGCCACGTGTGAAGGGTTGAGGGGCGACGGGGGACTGAGTGACCGGGGAAAAGTGTGTAAACTGGTAACTGGTTTGGGTTTATTTATCTTAAAATCTTTGTTTACTCAAAACCTACCTGGAAGGTAGTCTAAATGAATGTAATTCTTTTCCTATGCGTATATCAGGGGTTTGGCAAGAGAAAGCACTTGAAAACAACTTCCCAACTGCTCAAGACAGATCTGGCCCAGGCACCGATACCTGCCCCAGCCCTACCCCAGCCCCAGCTTCTACCCCAGCCCCAGCCCCGGCCCCAGTCCCATGAGGCCAGTGTTCCCAATGGTCAGGATGAGGGAACAGAGCAGAATGGTTGAGGTGGACAGTAGGGCTCCTGCAGCCAGAATGCCTGGGTCTGACCTGGCTCTACCACTTACTGGTTGTGTGACCTTGGGTAAGTCACTTTACCTCTCTGAACTTCAGTTTCCTCATCTGTAAAGGGTACGGACAAAAAGAGCATCTACCTCACAATTCTTTTGAGGACCAATGAGATCACTGCCTGGCACCCAAACCTGGGTGCCGAATGCTATCTGTTCTGTGGCATCATTAAAGGATCTGACGTTACTGGACTCTCTCAAGAACCCGTGAACCAGACAGAATGGGGATGATTCCCATTTTACAGATGAGGACACCTGAGGCCAAGGACCATCCCTTCATGGGTCAGACAGCAAATAGGTAGCAGAACCACAGGGTCCCGCAGGAGAAGGTCCAAAACCCTGAGCTCCCACCTTAGGTTCACCACACGCCATCTACTGACCAAGGCAAGGAAGTGGCCCCATACTTGAGAAAATGCACAGCCGCCAGGAGGACAGGTCCTCAGGAAGAACTTTCAGGCACAATCCCCAGGCGTTGCCAATAATCAAACAGCACCATCCTCCCGTTACCCCCGCTGCTGCTGGGATGGTCCAGATCACTGGGACCCAGGGATTCCACCTCCCATATTATTCAATTTGGAAAACTGAGGTCTGACTGGATGTCCTGTGGCAACTACGGCGACAGACAATTTGCCATATGTCCCAGGCCTGACTCAGGGAGGCAGATGAGGGCGTCCAGAAGCGTTAGCTTGTTATCTGGCTGCTTTGGGGGCTAGGGGGCTGCTCAGAGAGGGAAGTCTTCTGGTCCTACTTACCATGGTGGTGGATATGGTCTCCGTGGTGATGGAGGGAGCAGTTGTTATGAACTCTTTCCCCATTGGGGCAGTTCCATCAACCTGCTGGCCAGAGGAGGAGTCATCAGAAAGAGAGAGAGAGAGAGAGAGAGAGAGAGAGAGAGAGAGAGAGCGCACCAGATACACCTACAGACCTGACACCTGGGCTCATGGTATCCCTAGTTACAAAGTGACAGGCTGTGTGAATGAACATGCACTTGTTGGGGGTGGTGGCCACACAGAGACCAAACTGCAGTGGGGGGCCTCATAAGTCCTCCAGTTCATTTCAATTGTCTTATTTGACAAAGGAAAAATAATCCCAGACAATTTGACTGATTCCATCCAAATTTCCATGCATGTATTCCTTGACCTGGTGACCTCATTGCTAGGAATTCACCCTTTGGATATAAACTCTGCCAAGAAGTATGAACAAGGACGTTCGCTGCCGCACTCACTGATAACCGCCAAAGACAAACACAGCACAGGTCCGTCGACGGGAGACTGTGTGAAAAATGAGGGTCCACTCCTGAGTGGGACTCAGAAGAGTAAGGTGGGTCCATTTATGTTAGCAAGGAGTGAGCTCCAAGAAAATTGTTTTTTAAAAAGGTTAAGGTGTCCAAGAGAATCTCTTTTCTGTAAAGTTTTTAACTATCTAGAGATATTAAGTATATACGTTGGTAAATGGATACATATTTTTCTGGGAGGAATCACAAGATAAATTTCACTTGTTTCATTGGAATTTCCTCACTGTGAACATTTTGTTGTTGTTTTGATGTCCAATAAGGGTTACTGAGCTGTAGAATTTGGGGCCATTTTTAGTTTTCTGTATATTTCTCTGTGCGAAAACAGAACACACGTTACTAAAACAAAATAGGCCAGAGAGGGAACATGTTGCTTGAGGTCACACAGCTCGTCAGAACTCTAGGGTCTCGACCGCTGCGCTAGCAGCTTCATAAACCCCTATGCATGTTATAAAAGTGGGAGGGAAAAATTCTGGAAACGAGAGAGCTGCCTACATTGTGTTGGTTTACATCTAATTTTAGTCTTTGAGACAAAGACTGATCTCCAGAGCAAGAAAGCCCCCAGCATAGCAGCTCTTTTGGCCAGGAAGAGCCAAGACCCACCATCTCAATTTTCAAAATTTAAAAACCACAAAAGGAACTTAGGAAATGCACTGTATGTAGTACACCTATGTTAATTCATGACAGCCTTCTCCAAGGTACTAAGTATGCTGCATCTTGCTAAAACAAATGATTTGGGGTTTTTTTTTCAGTTTGTTCGTTTTGCCAATCTGATGTGGAACCCTCATGTATAAGAAAACAAACCAAGCCATTCTGACTGAAGTTGGACTAGGTTCTCACCCCTTCTCTCACCAAGCAGCCCCTGGGGTACTTGGGGTACGGGAAACCCCTCCAATTCCTTCAAACAATCTAAAGCCACGGTCCTAATCCACTAGCCACTAGTCCCTATAAAAACTCACAGGAGGACAAGGGGAGACATGATCGTCGCCGTTTTACAGATGGGGGAGTTGAGGCTTTAGGACGTGCAGTCTGCACAGGACAGCAACCCACTCGGCCGCCCACTCCTAGAGCTCAGAGAGGACAATAAAGCTCTGAAGAGTATCGGGGTTGAAATAGGACTCTGGGGGAGCCAAGGTGGCAAGGGTTGGCCCAGGGGCTTGTCCACGGTGGGGAGCCCACCCCCAATGCCTAACACCTGTGCTCAGGGTCCACTGGAAGGCTCAGGTCACCTGGGTGTCCACAGTGGTGACTCTGGTCTGTAGTACCGCCTCTGGCTCGATCTTCTTCCTGATGGCCAGGCTGCTGACAGTCATGGTTTCCGTTTTCACGGGCTGTAGGGAGATGAGGGAGGACACTTCATAACTCAAGCCCAGGCATGACTCCTGTTCCTGGGCAGCTGTGGTATAGGGTCAGCAGGTTAGCTCCCACCCCTGCAGCTGGCTAAGTCTCCGGAAGGGTACGCAGGTCAGGGCAAAAGAGGCATGGTGTGATATCCCAGACGAACGGCACAAGAGGAGAGCCCGGACTGCCAGCAGCAGCCAGCCAGGCCTGCCCGTGACCCTGCACCACACCGTCTCGTGGTGGCTATATGCCGTTTTCTTGGTTACCATTCACAGAACATCTACTATTCAATGGATATTCTCTGTGCTGGGCCCCACGCTAAGTACTTTCCCTAGATAGATAATGTCACTGAATCCTGAATAACTCCAATGGTTATGCCACCACCTCTTAGCTGCTTCATGTGAACTGTTCTTTAGAGCAGGAGTCACACACCCGGAGGCCCACGGGGGCAGGCAGGAGATAGAAACAAGTGACATGGGCTTGGGGAGGCCTGGGGTAAATTGGAGAGCACATGGGGTTCCACTCAGGTTTCGCCAACTCTGGCCATGGCTTCTGAGTGACGGGATCATCTGATCTTTTTAAATGATATTAAAAAAACAAAACAAAAAACAACCCGGATTTCATATTCAATGCCCTGATTTTTAAATCAAGGTCGAAGAAAACATCTGCTGGCCAGACCTGGCCGAGAGCCACCAGTTTACAACCTCTACTCTAGAAGTCTTAAGTAAAATGATCATTTTTTTTCTGAGTCCTCCACTGAGCCCAATTCATGGCTATGCACACAGCAGGTACGAACATATGTGAGCTGAATGAATGAATGAAAGCTAGCTTGTCATGTGGTTGGGTGGGTGGTGACAGGGATGCTACTAGATGGTTGTAACCTGGAGATCAAGCCATTCGTTTCATTAATCCTCTGTTGGTGCCTGGGATGTGCAGGCTGAGAGGAACTGTCGCCTGGTAGGAGGGCAGACCTGTCAGCCGCTAACCTGGCTACTTGGGATACTGCCAGGGGCAGAAGCATTACCGAGCCAGGGGGCTGTGGAGGGGCCAGTACTTCCACCCAGGGCAGTTGGGAAAGCGTTTGCTAGGGAAGTGGTCTCTAAACTCTGTCCTGGAATATGACAAGTTTGCAAGGCAGAGAAAGGGAGGATAACCCTTCTAGCAGAGGGTACAGGATGGTGGGAAAGCCCAGAGTGGATGAGTTCATGCTTCAATGCCTGGAAGATGGGGAAGGGAAGTATGGTGGGAGGTAGACTGGGGCTGGAAGAGATGAGGGAGCAAAGGAATAACGGGAACAAAGATCCTTTGAAGGAAGGACATAGGGCAGAGAGGCCCAGACATAGTCCAGCCCTGTATCGCCCACAGGGATGACGTCTCCTCTTCTCTAGGAGTTTCCACATGACCCCAGGGCCAGATGGACTTAAGACTCCTTCCCTAGGAAGCCCAGGCCGCAGGGAGAGGAGGCCAGGCCAGGATCAGGAAAAACCATCGACTTTCAGACCGGGCTGCAGGCGCCCCCGGGAGTCCACAGTACATGCTCTCTGCAGTGCCATGCAACGCAGGCAGGGAGAGGTGGGTTCGGAGGGTTCGAGTAAGACCAGACTGCCAGTCATCACTTGACCTCGGGTAAGCGATGGAGTCACAGGGTTAAAACGCCAAGGAGCGAAGGTTAGGGGGAAACCCGAGATGGCAAACATGCGAGCACAGAACCATGCTGTTCTGCAGAGGGGCAGTCATGCAACACGAAGACAGAGCTTCATTCAGGCGGAGGGACTCTGGGCTGCAGGCTGGCGGCTCAGTCTTCTCAAAGACGACCCAGGGCCCTCTGAACATGCAGTGCCCGGTCGGCCCGGTCGTGATGATACTCCACTGTACCTCAAACTGGGGCATATCCGGGGTGGAGCAGGCCCCTCGATCTGGGCTGTCCTCGATGCCCCCGGACTCGTCATCCTGGCTGGGGCCCCTCTTGCTGAGATCCCGGGAGAACACCAGGCCCTCGGTTTCGGAGTCGCTTTTGTCTCGGTCAAGCTCGGGCAGGCTGCGGGAGAAGTCTTCGAAGGCGCTGCCGTGGTAGTCACCGATGACAGTGAAGTCGACCTCAGCCTCCAGGCTAGACGTGGAGCTGACCGTGATGCTGGAGCACTTACGCTCAATGGCCAGGTGGTTGTCCTTCAGGAACACCGCGTCCCTCTCCTGGTCCTGGTCCTCGTCTCCTGTGTCACTCTCTGGGGCCCTGGGACGTGGGGGTTTGACTTTCTCTTCCAAGCCCTCCCTCAGCCCTGCTCTCTATAGCCAGATAAAATCAAAGGAATGGGGGGCATGGGACGAGAGGGAGAGAAGGAGAGAGGGAGAGAGAAAAAGAGAGAGAGAGAGAGAGATCAAGATGGTGAATGACATAAGACATCTTGACGCCATGTTGATGTCCCAAATGGAAGAGCAGGTCAGAAAAACAAAAAACACCCCCCAGGAAAGGTTCCTTGACGTCATAACAAGCACAAAAACCCAGAAAACTTCTCAAGAGTAGGGATATTCCTTTTTGAGGGTCTCCTGCTGATGGCAAAGCAAGTACAAAGCAAACATCCTGCCAGCTGGTCCTGGACAGGAGGTTCCATCCAACGTTTGGATCTGGGAGCTGATCAGAAGCGGCGTTGCGCACAAGGCAGGGGTGGGAGCCGGCGTCCCGGGCCCATCCGCACAGGCTGGCATCGAGAGACAGAAACCAAGGAGGGAGACCCAGGGATCAAGGAAACCCAGGCGGGGAAAGGCAGAGAGGCTGGAGCCAAGAGCTTTGAGGAACAAAGAGGGAGCCATCATGGTTTGTCAATTCCACTGAGTCTCCATGGGAGGGGGTCTGCATTATCTTGAGGGAGGAACAATACGGGGTAATTCCTGGGAGCTGGGCTCCATGAGTGGGCCGGCGGGCAGGCCACAGAGTGGAGGTTCTGGTCCCATCAGTGTAATTGACAACAGCAGGCCAAGGAAATGCTGGAGGGCAACTCTTGTCTGACATATACGTACCTCTCACCTGGCCTGTCAGGGATTAAACACCGCACACACATTTGGGGCCGGTTCATGACATTTCTTTTTAAGACCAATCTAACACCCACCAAATATTTTTCAAGTACTTGGCATCAGGTTCTAGAGATCTAGTGCACTTAAGAGATTCACTTGCTTAACAAGCGTCCATTTAGCCAGTTTCTGGAAGGCGGAGAGGTGTGAGGACACATTCCAGACAAGCCACAGTTGAGCTGCCACAGAAGCACCGCCAGAGCAGGTGGGAAGCTAAGGCAGTGATGCACCCTGGCCAGGTGATGACCGGGTCATCAGGGCACCAAGGGGCTACAGAGACCTGAGAGCCTGAGGGGCTGGCGAATCTCAGGCGCCCCCCTTTCCCAAGGGGGTTCACTGCTATACTGCTGATGTGCTTCTCTTCCCTGATCGCTTCTCCGGATTTGTTCTGGATTAGAGAAGATAGTTAGTCTTACGGAGGCAGAAAGGAACTTGGTACGGGGACCGAGAGGGAACCGGAAGTGAAAGATGGAAACCTCTGGACTGTCAGCTTCCCCAAGGCAGGAGAACCAGGGAAGGAAAAGGAAGTAGGGAGGTCATTGGACAAGCCAAGCCAAACAAGTAGGAACCCGGCAGGTGGGGGCAGCAAGGCAAAGCAAGTGTGTAGTTTGCTGGCGGTGGTGCCACCTTCTCCATGGGGGCTATGTGACCCTCTGGGTACCAGGTCACACCAAAACCCGAGGGTCTTTATGGCTAAGCTCGCATGGGCAGAGCAGATGAGCCCATCATTCTGCATGGGCTACTGTCAGGTGCATTTAGGGAAAATGACTCACAGGGATGGCCAAGCAGCTTCTCACTGCACTAATGACGAGGCGCCACTAAAGCATGCTTCTAATGAGCTACGCGGCATGCTGTCAGCTCCCCTGGCTGGGGGCGGAGGTGGGGGTGGGGGCTCACGTGGCCAGTTCCCCCAATAGCTTCCTCCAGCGTCGTTTCACAGCCTGAATCTGGGGACACGAGTTCGAGTTCCATGCATCCTTCATGGTGGGATGTGGTAGAAATGGCCTCCCTGAAGTGTCTGGTAGCAGGCGGCATCGTTGAGAGCTCTGTGGCCTTAGGGCTGGCAAGGTCGCTGAGGGGCTGGAGTTGGACGAAGCCCAAGTCTAAAAGCTTATTCCGCTGTTGCTCTACCTGCCCCAGGGCAGCCTCTGAAGACACCTCATTGGGAGAGACCCTTGCTTCACCCTGACTCACTCGGCGAGTTTCAGCTCCTTGAGTCTCAAAGATCCGAATTTTGTTGGCCACGGATGTCTTGCTAATATCTTCCAGGGAGCCCTCTTGGCACCCAACCTGGAAAAGGGTCATCTCCTTTTGCTTCCCTGAAGGGAACCCCAATCCCAGGGGTACAGCCCCCTCGATTTCTTCAAGGACAACTCTGGGCTTTCTGCTGGTGACGGGAGGCGCCCTGCGCTCACCTCCGTCCAGAGTTGCAACCGGCTCGACTCGTTCCTTGGGGTCTGGGCGTTCTTTAGGAGGATGGACATGTTTGAGAAACACAGGGGATTCTTCTCCAAAGGTATCCCCAAGCTGCAAAGGCTCCCCTGACCCACAAGGGGCTGCGCTTGGAGAAGCTTCCTCTGGAGGTGCCTGAGCATGAAAGGGGCCAGGGGAGGTTGGGGGTGGGTTGATCACCTCCATCTGAAGAAATGCCATCTGAACCTTGCTGTCCTCTGTCACAGGTTCTCCTATGTGGCTGTGAACCAGTGCCCTGTCTTTGGACAGGAAGTTACCTCTATCAGGTCTGGCTGGCTTCCATGGAACGGCACAAACAGGGAGGTCTGGGCTCACACCCCGTCCTCTGTGAGGTGAGTGATTCTTCCATCCTGCTGGGGGACCTTTCTCAGCCTTTCCCATCAAATCTCCACTCCTGGAGGTCTCGTCCTCTGCGGCGATGGTGGGTGCTGGGTGGGTAAACTCTTCTTCCACCCCCCACCCAGCTTCTTCCCAGACCTGAGCAAATGTCTGCCCTGGAGGACATCCCTTACCAAGCTGCTCAACAAAGACCTCCAGGTCATCCGGTCTTCTGTGGTTCCAGGGGGGTCCTGCCCCTTCCTCCAAGGAAGCTTTGTGGGCTTCACGGTCTTCGTCCTTGTTGCTGCCAGAGGGTGCAGGAGAGTCCCACGGGTCTGAGGAATTCAGCTCAGAGCTCTCTGCAAACTCCTCTGAGAGCTCCGGCCTGGTCTTGTCTCCAGGAGGGCCTTCCAGGCGTTCGTCTCTCTCCTCCAGTGGCGGAGGGAGGATATGGTCTTCAAAATCTTTCTCTCCATAGTTTAAATAGAAACTTCTCTCTGCAAAGGAAGTATCGGTTTCATCACTCGAGTCGGCTCTGGCTTCCACGTGGGCTGGATCCAGCAGAAACGACTGGAGTCCTCCCTTGTCAGAGGCTGGAGAGGGGACATCCGCCTCTGCTGGCCTGGTCCCCGGGACAGTGGGTCTTCTGCAAGTCTGGAACTCCTCCAGCTCCTTCCTCAGCTCCGTCTGGCCCTCCAGCTGACCACCTGAGACCTGGGGATCTCTGACAGTTGCCTCCCCAGTGCCCACCCTGAACTGAGTGCTGTCAAGCTTTTCTGCCAGCGTGCATCCTGCAGCCAGAGAAGCCCCTCCTGGGCTCTCCCTGACCCAGGGGCCTTCCTCCCACACCGACTCAAAGTCTTCGGGGCTTGCGATCATTCTTCCTTTTTGCTGGGTATTTGCTCTTCGGGCTCCCACTATTTCTTCTGTGGCCACTTCAACTTTGAACTTGTCCACTAGTACATCTACCTTGGAGAGTCTGCCATCAGCAAGGATATCTGCGAGGCCTGCCTCACTTTCTTCCTGCTGCGCGGGGGCCATGGTTACAAGTCGGAGCTCTTCTGGCCTAGTGTACTTTCTTTCAATAAGTACCCAATGCTCTGAACCCTGTGTTTCAATCAGAGCAAGAAGAGTTAACATGGAATAGCAGGCACCTGAAGGGCGGGTCAGCTTTTCCCTCTGCGAGAAGGGACCGATCTACCACTGAAAGGCCAACACGTCCCCAGGATGGGCTGGGGAGAGGAAGGCCTGACCATGCTAGTCAGCCGCGTCAAGGCTACTCTTCCCATCAGAGCACCCGACAAATTATTTGCCAACTCCCTTCAACCACCGCCCCAACTCGGTAAAATGGGATGAGATCTCCCGCCCTCCCCGTGTTAACCATGAGGAAATGGAGATCCATGGATGGGCCAGGACCCTATCGCTGCCTCTTTTAATAATGTAACTGCCGGGGCGGCCGGTTAGCTCAGTGGGTTAGAGCGCGGTGCTCATAACACCAAGGTTGCCGGTTCGATCCCCACATGGGCCACTGAGTTGCACTCTCCGCAACTAGATTGAAACAACTACTTGACTTGGAGCTGATGGGTCCTGGGAAAACACACTGTTCCCCAATAAAATTAAAACTAATAATAACAATATAACTGCCACAGTCAGAGGGGAAAGTAGCTGACATCACATGGAATCTTTGAATGTTAGAGCCAAAAGAGCTCCTAAGCCACCTCCAGTCTAATCTCATCATTGTGCAAATGAGTAAACTGAGGCTGAGAGAAAGTCAGTGACTTACCCAAAGTCACGGTCAGTTGATGATAGAGTCAGGAAAAGAATGCTTGATTTTTGATGCCTGAGATCCTTGCTGACTTATCTCACATCCTATGGGATATGGGTCCCAACTGTGATCTAAGGTCAGTCAAGTTGAGGGGGGGCAGTGAGTTAAGTGTCATAGGCTACAGCCTGAAATCTGACCTTTCTGCAAGAGCTTCTGGGAAGGAAAGAGAGTAGAACAAAAAGAGCCAAACGGCCAGCTTCTAGAGGCTAGTGCCAGTCCTCACAACAGCTTGAACTTCGTGGGGGTTCATTCCCAAAGAAACAGATACTAAGGCCTCTTCTTGAGGAATTCTAACAAAATCCCCAAAAAGAATAGAAAAGGACTGACCAGAACACATCACGGAAGGAAACAATCTAAAGATCTGGGCATCATCATGGGTCAAAAGCACCAACAAGAGGATAGCACTGTCAAACCATCAACAAAACAGCCCTCCACCCCCCATAGGGTCCTTCAAACAATGCTTAGGAGGGGGCAATGGACTTCTGGAATCATTCACAAAGCAAGAAGACCACTGGGATTTTGATCTTACAGCTACAGGATACGTTATTCACACAAAATCTGAATGAAGTCCAATAAGAAATACAAATACGAGGCTGCCCTGTTAAAGTTTGGGGCCTGGTCTGTCCTCGTGACCTGAGGTACCTCCCTCCTTTGAAATCAACTGCTCTGAGTGAAGCCCCTCGTGATACAGATGTGGACACTGAGGCCTAGAGAAGGTAAGCGCCAGGCCCAAGGTCAGAGAGCGAGCCAGTGGTAAAGGCAAAGCCCGATCTCGGACCCCAAGTTCTGTGAGGTGTATCCACGGTAAGATACACCCCAAACTGCTCCCAAGAACGGGCGGGAGGGAGGCTTATATGGCCTTGGGCTCTGATTCAGGTTATGACTTGGTGAGGAGTCTGTCGGATCCCACAAGATCTAAAGAATTCTGAAGGATCAAGGGAGCACTGTAAGCCCTCTCATCCCCACTCCATTTTAGCAAGACCTCCATGATGTCAGGGAAGCAAACCTCATTAAGGGAATCTCGCCAACAGAACAGATACTAGGAAAGGGGGAAAGGCCCAGTAAAGTGAGGCGTAGTTTCCTGAGATTTCACTTCAGCATGTTAAGCCTTCAGGACAGCAGCATTTGAACCATGCTGGAGAGAAGTGTCTCGAGAGACTGTGGAAGCTGGTCTCTCTTCTCTTCTGCTTGGGAAATGGGTGCCTTGAGCTGCTCCCATTTCGGCTTGTACTGACATCATCGGCCTGGCAGTGATGGCCAACGATGGTCCATGGGACCCTTTCAGGGACATTCCTGCCCCAAATCTAACTAGAAACTAGAACCTTAGGAACTAGGCTGAGTGGGGTGAGAGCTGGCACAGAACAGAGAAAGAAAGGTTGTGTAGGAAGAAAAACGGAAGCATGGACTTATATTTCGTTACTTAGCGCCAGGCAATGTCAGCCCTTTGTCTAAGGTATTCAATTTAACCCAAATGGCATCCTGTTACCCTTATTTCACTGTTACCCGTATTTCAGAAGGGGAAACTGAGGCGCCGAGGGGAGGTGGCTTGCACAGATGGCAGAGTGAGCACTGAAGGAAGAAGCAGCAGATCTGCTTCTAACAAGTGAAAGTAGATATGTAGGATCCTAAAGAGAGAAAAAAAGACTGAACTAAAAAAAAGACAAGCTTTGCTGGCACCAAGACATTGGCAGAGCCGCACCTGGCCCTGGGGACTGGTATGAAAGTCGTTCTGACCAGATTACAGGCTGGGATGATGTCAGGGAAGCCCCACAGCCATTTTTTCCACTGAGCCAAGGGCCCCTCAGTGCCTGCTCAGAGCGCTCCCTGCTATCAAGTGGAGGCACTGGGGCAAGACTGGCCGTGAAACAGAAACTGGGAGTGGAGGTGGAGCCAATTCTGTTCCCACACAAGCCACCGACAAGGAGAAAGTCTCCAGCCAGGCAGTTCTGCTGACTTGGGGCTGTTCAGGCCCCATCTGGGGCTCTCGGTCATATTTTGGGCCCTGCTCTGTGCAGGACACCCCCAGGGAGGGTGGGGAGTCCAGGACAAGAAGCCCTCTAGAAGTCATGTCCTGGAAGAAACTGTTGAAGAGGGGAGGCTGGTGCTCAACCCCGAAGGGCCTTCCTGGAGGAGGGTACAGAGCAGATCTAAGGGACAGAGCGAGGCCCCTAGGCAGATAATTCAATATGAGAACTTCCCAATGATGACTGAAGGCAAAATAAGCTTCCATTAAGAACAAGAGCCCCCTGTGTGGACAGATGACTTTCAGGGGTGCTGAGGAAGGGCACACATCCTCCCCCTCCTCAGGATGGGCACCTGTCCTTGGATCTCAGAGCATCTCTGTTCCCCTCACCCCGGGATGCTGTTGACTGCTGTCCAACTTTTCTCTCAAGAGAGCGCTGGCAGTTTCCGTTTTTATTTTTTACATTGAGGAAACACCAGAGTACAACTATGATTTATGTTTTATCACTTATGTAGCTGACTCATGTCTCTTTTACAGTTCCAGCATGTTTTCAGCAGCTACAAACTTTTTCTCTGGGAATTGCAAAAGGGATACGCCCTCACACACACCGTGTCAGCAGAGGAGGCTCGATATCCAGGAGAAGGAAGTTTCGCCCAAACGACTGGTCAGTACCTTCCGGTCCTCACAGTCTATGACGTCCCAGCAGAGAGGGAGGACACAGCCCCCTGCTCCCTGGGCCTGGATCCCACCTAGCATCCATGCAGGAGGGGAAGTTGCAAGAACCCCCGACCTGCTGCCGTCCTGGGAACAGGAGCAATGCCTCCTCGTTCAGAATGCTTGCCTGACCAACAGCTCTACAGCCGCAAGGATGCTCCTTGGAGCAAGACGCTCATTTTGCCTGCCTGGAGACCCTGAAAGACCCAAGCTCCAAGGGGAGTTTAGAGAAGATGGAGGTGGGGGATGAGATGCTATCCCCTAACTAGCCAAGGCTAGACCTTCCTCAGGCCTCTGAACAGAGAAGGGACCTCAGGGCAGACAGCATTTAGGAGTGATGACACCTGTCCCAAGCTTAGAAGGCAGACCCTGCCTCTCGTCACCTGCCTCAGCAGGGCCTGAGGGGAGACCAGAGGTAACTCAGGTTGTTCTGTCTTCGCTGCATTTCAGTCCTGATTCCTGGGAGACAATGGATGAGGGAGGGGTCTGCCCTTTATGGACCCCTGGAACGAGGAGGCTTACTTGTCGCAGCATGGGGACAATATGGGCTACCCACTGCACCCATCTGTATGACCGAGTCTGGTCCATCCCCCTCACCCGAGAGAAAGGGCTGTCTTAAGACCATTGGGTGGTTTTGGGTGGGCAGGGAGGTAATGACAGTAACCTCAGGAGATGCTGCGAGGCTTTTCTGAGTGAACACTTCCAAGCCTGCGGCCATCCCAGGCTCAGGTGCCAAGTTCTGCTGAGAGGTGTCCTGGGTCCTCTGGGACTGCAGGGGAGGCCCAAGGCCAGAGGAAAGGGAAAGAGGGAGAAAGGGAAGGAGAGACAGAGAGGGAGAGAGAGAAAGCAGGAGAGACACACACACACAGAATCTGTAAATAGCCCAGCTTTGTAAATCGCACATCCTTAGGGTTTATGGGTTAGGTCAGGAAGGAGCCACGCTGCCGTGGAGAGGAATAGAAAGGAACTGCCCCTCCAAACCACACAAGGTAGGGAGGCCCAGGTTGGCAGCCGGCCCAGCCAGCACCGTGGCTTTGGGCCTTTCCTCATGGCCTGCCGGCTCTCCTTCAAGAGGTTTTGGAGCCACACCACTTACACTCCGGTTCCAAGTCCCCTCTGTTTTCGATGATGGTTCAAGCCTACAGTTTGGGTCTCAGCCCCATTTAAAAACTTATTTTTGAGAAGGAAACCTGGGCTTGGCAAATGGGAACTCTTCTTTATAGCCTGGAGTCCCTAGTTTGGTTTTAAGTTCCTACCATTTTCCCCTTGGCCCAACAATTTATGAGGAATCTGCTGGGAACTCTGGATGAAACACCCCTGCAGGGCATCCCCCACAAAGCCCATATTTGGATCAGCGGTTCTAGTTACCATCAGCAATGGCCCCGTGACCAACCGCATGCCACGCTTTCCAATGAAGAAAGTACATTTATTCCCATTATTTTGCTCAACCTTCCCAATAACCCTATGGGTGGCAGTTTTGGTCCCCGTTAGATGAACCGACTAGCCAGTGAGGCTGAGAGAGGTGACGTCATGTGTTCAAGGACCAGTCCAGTCCCTGGCTATGGGGCTACTCCCCATCTTCCAAATCTTCAAGGGTATCTACTAAATGCCGATGGGACCTGTAAGCCACTTAAATGGTCCATTGCTCCAAGGGGAGCTTCTGGGCCAGACTTCTTTCCAGCAGCGGACTACACTTCTTGGCCCAGCAGTGGGTGGGAAGACAGGAGGTGGAACAGACACTCCACCTTTTAATGAACCACCTCTAGCAGTTCCAGCTGTCACCAGCAGGTGGGGTACCCCCCTAAGCCAGGCTGCTCTGAGGCACCCCTATGCTCCAGAGCCCAGCTCCCCAGGGCTCATCGCACTCTTCTCTGCTGGAGTCTGACCCTTTGGGAAACCTCTGCATCCCACTTCACCCACTTCAGGACTGAACAGAGGCCATTCTGGTCAAGTCTCCCCCAGGCAGGAGGGGCGGGGCGTGTCACTGGGTCACTAGACCAGCCCCCATGGCCCACTCCAGGGCCTTCAGGGTCTTGTTAGTGCCAGGGGTGACCACAGAAACCCACCGTAGGTGAAGAGATCTGCCTTCCTCCATGGCACCAGCCTTAAAGGCCCCCAGAGCATCCCTAACTTTGTGAATCACCAGCCAAGGCGCTACCAGAGCAGCCACACTGGACGAGGCCATCTGTTATCTGGCAAACCGAAGCCATGGGGCGTGCTGAGTCCAGCAAATGCTCTGCTTATTAGATCATGGCGGCATCACCAATTGTCAAAGCATTAGAGGGCAGCACACACGCAGCTGACTCAATACCTGGTCTTCACATGATTTGGTCTGTGCTCCCAGGCACCTGTGATTTAATAGCAACTACAACACCTGGGATACGAGAAAATCAGGTCCTGGCTCCTCTTCTATCAACTATGACACTAAACAAGTCCTTCTTCTTCTGGGCCTCAGGGCCCCATCTGTAAAATGATGACCTGAACCAGGCAGGTTCCGAGGGTCCGTCCAACTTTAAAAGAGAATCTGATTCAAAGTTAACCCTCTGTGTGAGAGTCCCCGAACTCTCAAAATGAAACAACAGTAACTCATACTGAGCACTTAGGTCCTCTGCCGGTCCCTCCATGCTTTATCTCATTCGAGCCTCACAATATTCCTAACAAGTAGGTACTTTTATGACCTCCCAACAGAGGCTCGGAGAGGTTAAGTAACAAGCCCAGAATCATCCAGCTAGCAGGTAGCAGGGCCAACATTCAAACCCAGGCGGTGTAAGCCTAGAACCCAGTCGAGTAGGAGCACAGTAAGCAGAGGCGCTAGAGAGAAAACACCTAAGCGTAAGTGGGAGTAAATATTGCTGAGATTTAGCAGTGCTAACGATGACAGCTTGGGATTATAAATATAGGAACTCTCAAGATCCTGTCTTTCTCGTTTTCAATTGAGAAGCACCCCATACTTTCCGTCCTGAAAGGCAGGTCGTGTGGGACCCTTTTCTGAAGCATTAGGAGCAGCTCGGACTTTCCTAGAGGATCCGTTCCCCTCTATGGGCTCTGAGGATCCTTCCAGGAGGGAACACCCCCCCGCCCCGCCCCAAATCTGTGTTTTCGCAATAGGCATGAAAGGATCTGGTTACTGGATGGAACTACCCCATTCTTAAAGTTGAATGCACAGGAGAATCGCCTGGGGCACTTGCACTTGTTTCAAATGCTGATTCCAGGGCTCTACCTCCTATATTTTGATTCAGGAGGTCTGATGTGGGGCCTCAGAACTTGCATTTCTAATAAGCACCCCTTCCCCTTTATACTCTGGCTGATGGAAGGGGACCGCACCAAGCTACCGTGAGTCTTCTGTTTTTTCAAGGTGATCCCTAGGGCCCCAGATTCCAAGATTTAGTGACTGTCTTTCTCAGCCTAACTGGCCACCCTAACCCCATGATCACCTTATGGAGCAATGGAGGGCAGGTATAGAGGTGTGGAGGGTGAGAGTAAGTCAGTACAGAGCAACCTTCCCCACCCTCTTTACCCAAGGCCTCTGTTGAGGGGTTTGGGGTGAGACCTACCTCGTTGGCTTTCTCAGGGGTGCCCTTGGGGGAGGGGGAGGCGGGCGAGGACGGCAGCCTGCGCTCCCGCTCCCAGTCTCGATCCCGGTGGATCAGTTTGCTGTTGGGTTCCTTCAGGGTCCTCTTGAGCTCATTGATGCTGGCCTGGTGCTTCAGCAAGACATCCTCGGGCTTGTCTAAGAACTAGGGATGGATGGAAAGGACAGCCAGGCATTAGAGGGACGGGATACAGGGTGTGGTGAAGATGGCAACACTCACCATCGCTGCCCCACATCAGCAAGGTGATTCCCACCCATGACTCTGTGTCACCCTCACAGCGCCCCATGAGCCAAGCAGGGCAGGGGTGTTAGCCCCAAGAAGTGCACAAAGCATTTAAGATTAAAAAGCGTTGACTTCTGGTCAAGCACCACCTTTTCTTTTCTGCGGCCTGGTTCCCAGCCTTGGAACACCCAAGTCAACACAAACCCCACAGGTCTGGGTAAGTTCCCTTTGGTGCCGTGAGCCCAGTCTTAGCCATAGAGGTGACTTCCCTTTGCTCACAACCAAAACACAGTGAGAGCTTGCCAATCCTGTTCACTGGGCAGCTTGGGCCCACTCCGTGGCCTTCCAGATCCTGGTTTCTACCTGTGGCCGAGACCTGGACCACGGTGCTTAGCAGGATGCCCAGTCTAGGCCCCTCCTAGCGCAATGTGTACAGTTGCTCAGGCTCTTTGGGGCCCTTCTAAGGCTAGGGACATCCAGAAAAAATGTGCCCTGCTCCCACGGCAGGGACCAGGGGCCAGGAAAAGATTGTGTTCAGAATTCTCTACTTTTAGCTACTATCTTTCCCAACTACCCAACAACTTCCAGATACCTTGTGGGTACCAACTCCTCAATAGCAGACAGGTAGGGTGAGAAACAGCCAGGTAGAGAAAGTAGGATGCTGTGGGATGGTCAGGAGGATGAGGAGAATTAGAGACCAGAAGGAAGACAGGTCAAGTGCCAAGGCTGGGCACGAGAACTGGGCCAGGTGTAGTTGGAGTCATAGGTGTGTTCCCCATTAAACGGCCAGGTTTGAGCTCTGGCCAGTGCAGCCTGACAGAGTAATTTGCCCCAAGGTCAAGTGAAGTCCAGCCTTTGCACAGGAGACAGCAGCAATCTGCCCAAGCTGCCTATCTGCCTACTTCTGGGTCAGGGTAGGTAGGCTGGCAGCCCAAGGACTTATCTGCAAGGCTGTTTGAGGATTCATGTCAACTCAATGCATGGCAAGAAACAGACAATCTCAGCTTATTATAAAGTCAGATTTGGTGATTCTAGAAGAACTACCTGGAAGGTAAGCTTGCCCTTGGTCAAACTAGACCCTTCCCCTGGGCTCATCTTTGGCATCCAGGGGGATCCACTATGATAGACTCCCAGGTGACCTCAGGAAGGAAACTAATGCTACTGAGGCTTCCACTTTCCCTCCAAATATCTGTCTGTACCTCCAGCTTCCCTTCCTGAGCTGAGCTGAGCAATCAAATCTGATAGAGTTTGCATGGAGGGGTGGGTTTGGGCTGCAATGGACCCAAGATGTGGCTTGTGACCTTCCATCTGCACCTGCCACTCTGGCTCTGTGGGCATGTCGTGTTCCCAAAGGCTAGAGGGAGCAATGAAACCCGGAGAGCCTTGAAGGTCCTTGGGGAAACTAGTCCCAATGCCTTGCCATGCAGAAGAGGGCTGGAACCTAGGGGACTGCCCCCAAATCCTCACGGAATCAGTGGCAGAACTGGGGCTGAAATCCCAGACCACGGCACTCCAAGCCTTCTTACACCCCAGCCTCTGGCCCTTTCCCTCAGGCCCAAGAATAAATCCACTTCTCTCACAGTGAAGGTTCAAATGGAGACTCGGAGACTGTGTGAAAGGGAAGGAGAAGTGGATAACACAGGAGGAATGAGATGAGAGATGCAACAAGAGGAAGAGGAAGGGGAAAGGGGAGTGGAGGAAAAGAGCGGAGGCTTTCCTGACAGAGCTGGAGAAGTGGCAGGCCCCGCCCAGGGGGCGGTGCAACGAAGTCTGAGAAGATGCAGATGTGCTCCAAGGCCCCTCCCTTTCATTGTCCCCCACCCCCCCCCACACACACACACATCTGGCTGCCAACAGATACAAAAAGAAGCCTAGGATGAGGACTCAGGGGACACAGATGAGGTGGAGGTATGACCACACAGTGGTGTGGGGAGGAGATGAGTCAAAGGAAGGGTTTGGGGGTGGCAGAGGTAAGCTCAATGAAAGCACAGAATGGCCTGGAATTACTGGGGAACCCAAGTGGGATGGTCAGCAGGAATGGAGTTGCAAGCACGGGTGGTCTAGAGAGGCAGGATGTGAGCTAGGTAGAGAGAGGGAGGGGGAAGCAGTGCTGGGGATGGAGTCTGAGCAGGGAGCTGGAGAAGTGAGCTTAACAAGGCGGGCATGGGGGCAGGGCAAAAGGAGTGGGATGGCAGCGGGAGGATGGCCAGGGAGCAGAGATGGTACCAGGATGTGAGCCTGGGACCTGCTGTGGGATGGTGACACATGAGCTGGGGATTTGAATGGCTGGGTAGGTAGGGACATGTCCCATGCAGTACCTCCTGCTTGTGTCTCGGCGTGGTTTCTTGCTCCGGCTGGCAGACGTGAAAGGAGGGAAAGGAACCAGCAGGGTAAGTAGAGCCAATAGGTTAGAGACACCGCGACCGGCCCGGTCCAGCAGGCAGCCCAGAGCGTTCTCACCCAAGCAGCAGAGGCCAGGGGAGCTGGGTGGGCCACCCAGGGGGCAGTGAGTAATCAGAAGGTGTGGGGCATAAAGCAAGGAGCTGGGCCCCGGAGGCGGGAAGGGGGTGGGCAGACTGGAGGCAAAGCGAGCAGGCACACTCAGCAGATGGGCATGAGGGTTCTGGGTTTTCCTAAGGACGTGTGTGTTCAGGGGCCTGCGCCCCCGAGTGGGACTGTATGATGGAAACACACTATACCCGTGTGTGCACAGGCCCATGTATGCATGCGTTTGTTTGCATGTTTCGGTGCACAACCCTAGGGGTGGGGAGGATACATCTGTAAGTGAACATGTGGGTCTGAGGCCGTGCGTGCCTGGGTGAGTGTATGCACAAGTATGTGGGAAATGGGCCAGGCAGCAGAAGGGGACACACCTGTCAGGGCCTGCAGATCCAAGTCATAGCCAAAGGGGCAAATTAGGAATAGGGAAGAGGAGGCCAGAGGCCCCTAGGGGACAGAGTGCCCATCTGGGAAAGCACAGCCAAAGAAGGAAAGGGTGTAGGGTAGGCAACATGCCCTCCACCATCGCAGGCACGTCCAGGTATTGAGCATAGCCCAAGGGCAAGGACCTGTGCATGGTACACCCCACAGCACGGGTTCTGGGGCCACCTGAAGGTCAAGGCTGACTAGACACAGCATCAGCCTCCTGAGCCCCAGACCACAGGGTATGAGAAAGCCAGGCTCCTACCTTTAGCTCCTTGATCTTGGTGGGGGTCCTGACCTCTCCCTCCTCGGCCTCTGACCGCCGCCCCCCAGACTCGCCATCATCCTCTCGCTTGTCACCATCAGGTCCTGCGTCGTGATTCTCACTGACCGAGGCTGGGCGGGAGAACTCTGCTAAATTTGACAGAAACAGCCAGCAGCCGTGTGAGACATCTCCCAGGTGCATGGACGGGGAGCCAGCCTTGCCACGTGCTCACCCCCAACATGTTAGGGATAAGATGCCAATGCCCAGAGGAGTGCAGCAGCCTTCCCCAGGTCAATGGCACTGTCTCCCAGCCCCAGGCCTCCTTCTGATTTCTATAGCACTAGACCCCAGGTTCAGATCTCAAATCCATCTCTTCTTGGCTGTGTGACCTTGTATAAGTTATACAACCTCTCTGGGCCTCAGTTTTCTCACCTATAAATAGTACCTACTTCAGACAGCTGAGGGGAGGAACAAATAAGCTAACGTGTGTAAGCAGAAGAGCGCTGGCACAGAGTGAGCCAAGTCAATCAATGTTGGCCCACAAATGTTGATTTCCTTGTTGTGGCATGTGTGGCAGGATACTCACTTAACCACTATTTAGCAATACACAGATATGGTAAGATAAGCGTTTACTAGTGAAAGCTCAAGTCCTGAGGTTTGCAAATGACTTAACTTCTTGATAATTTAGGGAAAATTCAAGGGGACCCTTGCAATAACATCTTTCTCACTTGCTGGCATCCCAAAGTATTTTTCTGAATAGGAGGAAAGGATTGGAATTACAGGCTTTCTACCAGGCACTGGGCACAACCCAGGCTATGCCCAAGAACTGTGTCTTGGGGGGCGGGGGGGGGGGGGGGGAATGGCTGGAAAACACTGAATTAAAATGACCAGAGCACAGATTGCCCTTGAGATTGGCCTAAATCTAAAAAGAGAGAATAATTATCCTTTCTGCTCAGATATATTCACTGTGCAAAGCGCCCATTCACGCCCATTATTTCATTTGAGCCATACGATGCTCTGTGTTGATGGCTAGAATGGGAATTATTATCCTCATTTTACAGAGGATAAATTGAGACTCAGACCTTCCAGTGAATCAGGCTGGGGACCCAGGCCCACTGGCTTAGAATCCGGGCTTCCAGTCCCCTCACGATGAGCCTCACCAACTCTGGGCTCATCTTTGCTGCCCCGCACAACCTGGGTTTCATTTAGCCCCTGGCACAGTAATGGAAGCTGCAGGGGAGGAGAAGAACAGTACAGGCCCTCCTTTCCCTTCGCATAAATCTTAGCCCTCAGCTCTGTGCCCACTCGAGGAAAATCAGGAGCTTCTTCAAGCCCCAAGTGGACCCTTGCAAAACTGCATATCCTTCAGACATGGCCAGGGAGTCCTGGGACAGGTCTCACCTTTGTGCTGCAGGAAAAGTATCAGGCCAGACTCTTTCTGATTGCCTGGAAAACTCCTGTCCTTCCAAACCCTGTCCAGTCTCCACCCTCTCTTCTCTGCAAAGCCCTTTCTGCCCTTCCTGGACAGAATTAATCCCTCTCTCCTCAAGGCTGCTCTGTATTCTGCACGTACTTCTCCCATTGCTCGAATCACATTGAATGCTTATAAAACTAATCTGTGAGCTCCTTACAGGAAAGGGCCATACATTCTAACAGTGAGAAAATATTTGTTAAGCAGAACTAACTTGCCTAGAGGTCTGCCCCAATGTGTTCTGGGAGTAGCCACTGTTCCCCCCACTCACGTCCCCATCCTACCTTTAAGCCACCCTCTACAAACTTAAAAGCAATACTACTTTATTATTGGGTATAATTTATTAAGGTCCCCCTGTGTACCAGGAATTGTTTGGGGTGTTGCAGAGGCATTATTTCGCTTCGTTATACCCATAACACAGCGAAGTAGGTATTCTTTATTCTGTAGAAGAGGACATAGGCACAGGGGAATTACGTTGCTTAAGGCCTCCCATCTATTCATTCAGCTATTTATGGAGTTCTTCCTGTGTCAGCTGAGCAGCTGGTGAGTGTCAAGTCTGAGATTTGAAATCGGATCTGGCGAACTCTGAATCTCTGCAGTGCCCCACGTGGCTTCGGAGCCCCTCCTACAAATTCCAGTGTGCGTATTCCGGGGAGAATCCTGGGCCCTGAGGAGTGCCAATGGAGTAGGTCCGGGCCAGGGCCTGGGAACCTTCTTCATGTTTAACAAGCTCCCAGGTGATTCTGACGCAGGTGGTCTACGGGCCACATTTTGAGAAGCCCTGGTCTGCTTGATAAAGGACAAGGTAGGACCAGTTCTCATTGAGGCTCAGGACACCTGTCAGCCCAACAGGAATGAGGGCAGTGGAGAGGGCCACGTGGTTAGATGGTAATCAGTTCAATGGAACCAAAAGAATGACCAGAAATAACCCCTCCACTTCTGGTCAGGTAAGGCGCCACCAGCTCCACATTACAGCCATAGTTCACCATTGTCCTGGTATGATAATCTGCGGCTCACTAAGCATCTTGGGCTGGGGGGTCCAGAAAACTACATGGCTGAACCTGGGACCCCAAAAGGCTATGACTCAGGAAAGTCTCAGGAAGATCAGAGAGTGGCAGTGTCACAGTGTCACAGCAGGAGTGATGCCATAGGTTCGGGCAAACCCACCAAGAGCTGCCCAGTTGCAGCAGCGCTCTCGGTCCACCATGCCTGGTGCAAATCAACCTGCGATGTGTCTACCAACTTCACCGCTCATTCTGCAGAACCTGGCATGCCCCCCGCCAACCTCCCTCTGAACACGACTCTTCCCCCCACCTCCAATTTGGGGCATACCTCCATCAAGGCTGCGGGACATGGTGTACCGTTTGCTGGAGGAACGCTCAAAGAAGGGTGCAGGCCGGTCGATGAGGGCGCTGGCCTGGCGGGTCTGTGCCTGGGTCCGCCCACTATACCGGAACTTGGAGCCCATCACCAGGAAGCCCTTAGGTGGGGGCTCGGGGGACACCAGCCTGCAGTGGAGGAATGGAGGTGAAGGGAGGTGGGGATCAGGCCTGCACTGCCAGGCCCAAGGCTGGACCCCAGCTGGCCTTTCATTCCATTGCCCCATCAGCTAGGACAACTCTAAGTTGTCCAGGAGGAGAGAGACTTGGGGAAATACGAGGGGGCCCTTTCCTAGGGTCCCTACAAGCTCCTCCACCTGCTCTCCCCCATCATGAAATACAGACTTCATCTACACATATGCTCATGGCCTCTGTCTCATCCCCGGTTCCGCCACCCAAGGGTCAGGCTCACCGGAAGAACGTGTGGTGCTCGATGCAGACCTTCCACAGTCTCTTGGCCGACCGGTGGTTTGGGAGCTTAAAGCCAATTGTGCTCTCAAACTGTTCATACTGCAAAACCAAGGAGGGTGGGTTAGAAGCAAGACCTGGGCCTCCTCTCATCACCAATCCATCCTTTCTTCCTTTCTGCACCCCCTTCTCAGGCATACGCGACTCTGGTCTGTTCATTTATTCATTCATTTATTATTATTATTTAAAAAAATCATCTTGGATACTGACAAGGTTACAAAGGGAATGAACAGAGATGTGTGATGTGACAGAGAATACCTGTGTAAGTGCAGGGGTAGGGTACCATTGGGTTGTCGGAAAAGTCATGACGTATTTTTCCTATGTTTTTCGTTGCGAAAATGCGTCATGACTTTTCCAACAACCCAATATTTTAGAAAAGGTGATCAGGGAATGCCCTCTAACTAGGTGATCTTTGAGCAGACATCTGAAGGATGGGGAGGAAGCCAGCTATCTGAGAAGGTGGGGAAGAGAATTCCAGGTAGAGCGAAGATCAAAAGCAAAGGGCTCAGATTGGGAAAGAGCTTGTTTTTTCAAGGATTTTAGAGAAAACCAAAGGGGCAGGGGGCAGTCGAGCAGAGATGTGTGGGAGAGGCAGGCAGCCACAGACAGCATTTAGACTTGAGGCCACAAGCTAAAGAGAGCTCTCAGAAGGTTTAAGCAAGGAGTGGGAGTGAGGGTGGGTTTGGCATGATCTGATGGAAGGGACTTTTAAACTCTCTTTAGCAGCGATGAGGAAAAGGACCTGGAGTGACAATGGGAGCAGGGACACCAGTGAGAAAGACATTGTAGAGCTGTAGATAAGAGATGGTGGCTGTTGGTGGCTGGGGCTGTCCGTGGAAAGGGAAGAAGCAGATGGATTCTCATTTATTCTGGAGGTAGAACCAAGTGGACCTTTCGGTGGGTGAGATGTGGAGGTAGGACGGATACACGTTTGCATGTGTGTGTCTATGTGTATCTTAGAATGAGTACGGACGGGAGTATTACATGTAAGCAAATACATGGACGTGTATTCATTGATCCATGTAACCTGAATATATGTGGTTATTTTGTGTGCTTGTGTGTGTGCGCGTGCGCGCGTGCGCATGTGTGCAGGCACATACCTAAGGTGTCAAGTCTATGGACAGAACCCCAGCAGAAAAGGGATCTCTCCCTTCCCACCCCATATACCCTGGGTAGGTAAATACTCAGGCCCAGGTGCCAGGGTCCTCTCTGTTCTAGTGAATTCCAGTGAGGGGAGGGGTTCCCAAGGCACTCACCTCCCCGGGACGGATCTTAATGTAAAAGTTACTCCTCTTGTAGGAGATCTTGAGAATCTTGGGCCAGGCGAAGCGGTTGATTCTCAGCCGGTCCCGGTAGATGAGCAGGCCATTGGCACAGACTCCTAACATGATGTCAATGCCCTCAGAGTCCTGCATGAGAAGGCACCATGGAACAGCAGCCTGCCACCCACCCCCAAAATCTCTCCCTGGGCGCTGCCTATAAATGAGCCCTCAGGAGCAGGGGGACTTCCAGCCTCCATGCTAGAGTCCCACTGACAAATCCCTCACACAGTCCTTCAGTCATTCACTCTTTCATTTTGTCATTTATTCATCCACTCACGTGTTCTATCATTCTCTCTGTTAAGCACTTATTCACCCAGCAAACATTTAATGGCAGGTATTCGGTGCTAGCCACATGCTACATGCTAGGGATATGGAAATACATTAAGGCCTTGTCTTTCCCTCATGATGCTCCCAATCTAGTGGTGGCGCCAACCGGTTCATAAATAAATATAATACAAGGAGAAAACGATCAAAATCATGATAAAGGGTTCGGGAACTTCAAGGAATGAAAAATGAAATGAGAAAAGGCTTCAGGTTGGCAGGAACATGGGGTCTGCCTCACCAAGCCCTCCAGAAAGACCTGGTAGTTCATCAGGGGCACCTCCCAGATGCTAGGGGGACCCTGGCCCCCAGTGGTACCTTGGCATGGTGCAGATCTACTCCATACATGGAAAGCTTCTTGGCGTTCTCTAGGAAGTGGATTTCTGCTTCTCCTGGGGTCATGCCCCTAAGGGAAAGAAAGTGATCACAGGTGGCTGTCGGAAAAGCCCGGGCCTGCGTTCTGCTGCCTGGAGGTGGCCACAATCAGAACCTGTGATTCTGGGAAGGCGGAAGCGGGAGTGGGCGTATAGCTAGGCCTCACCCAGCCCCTGCCCTCTGCTCTCAGTGCAGGATGGTGCGCCCCAGGCCCCACTTCAGTTCACCCAAGCCCCGTCTCCCGCCAAAGCTCCAGTCCAATCTTGTTTCCTCCAGGAAACATTCATGCGCTGAGCTGGGAGTCAGGGTGTTTTGCCTCATTCTGCCACCGAGTTAAGTGTGAGCCATAAATTCTGCTTCTCCATCGCTGTGAGGGCCTTGTGGAAGACTTTGTTCATTATAACCACCCAGGGGCACCTAAATTAACCACCCGCATAAGATATTTATCTCAGAATGTTGTATCAGAAACCACTTAAGCTCCCCTGAGGAGCAGGTGCACATTCTCCTTTCTGAAAAGAAGAGTTATGTAATCCAAGTTCCTTCTTTGCTTTGGCTGCCAGGAAACCATACATTTTACACTTAGTCACAGCTAACACTTATTGAGCACTACGTGTGGTTACTGTTCCAAGCACTTTACATCTCTCAACTCACTGAATTCTCAAAACTATTCTATAAGGGTATTATGATTATCCCCATTTTACAGAGGAGGAAGCTGTGGCACAGAGAGGTCGAATAACTTGCCTAAGGATACACAGCTTCTGAATAGGAATGTCAGGATTTGAATCCAGACAATGCGGCTCCAGAGCTTTTCTTCCCAACCACTGCACTTCCATCTGTCTCATATCCTCTGAGCCTCAGTGTCCTCTGTTCTGTCCACCTCAGTGAGTTTCTATGTGGGACATCTGGATACTATCTGTCAATGTGCTCTAAAGTCACAAGAGCTGTCAAAGCTAAAGGGGTGGCCAGTAGCATTTCTCCAGCCCATATTGTTCTGAACTTCTTTCTCTGACTTACAAGCATTCCTCGGAGATACTGCAGAGCCTGTTCCAGGCCACTGCAATGAAACAAACATCATGCTAAAGCGAGTCCCACACGTTTTTTGGTTTCCCAGGGCATATAAAAGTTATGTTTACCCTATATTGTAGTCTATTAAGTGTGAAATAGCATTATATCTAAAAAAAAAAAAACAACGCACATAACTGAATTAAAAATATCTTATTGCTGGGATGACCGGTTAGCTCAGTTGGTTAAAGCATGGTTCTGATAACACCAATGTTGCTGGTTCGATCCCCACATGGGCCACTGTGAGCTGCGCCCTCCCTAAAAGAGTCAACTATGCCACTGTAGTATGAAAGCAATGTGTAACCAATGACCATGGCTGTTCCCTGACAAAAATTTTTTTTTAATTAAAAAAAAATTTTTTTAATTTATGTTTATACTATACTGTAGTCTATTAAGTGTGAAATAGCATTATATAAAAAAATGTACATTACTTAATTAAAAATATCGTATTGCTAAAACACGCTAACCCTCATCTGAGCCTTCAGCAAGTCATAATCTCTTTCCTGGTGGAGAGTCTTACCTTCAATTTATGAAAATTGCAGTATCTGTGAAGTGCAATAAAACGAGGTATGCCTGTATTCTGACTCTTGCAAATCCCTAACACATCTGACCACCTACAACAGGGAAGACAAAGAGATGGCAGGCAGGTCCTCACTCCCTATTCCTGAGCCAGGCAGACGCTGCTAACCATTTGTACAGTTTCAGCATCCTAACAACACAATCCAACAGCAGCCACTGCTAACCAATCAGAGTTGGTGTGCGAGTCTCAGAGAGACACATCTGCCAACCTGACCTAGCATTCCATCATACCCCATGTGGGCTTTCTTCTCCACATATGTGATCCCTCCACATCTGGCCCTGGGCTTCCTCTCCTGATGCAGCCCCCAGGACACAAACTTCCTCACTCCCTCCCTCCTCATTAGCAATGAGATAACATCACGATACCCCTCCCATGTGCACAGCACTTTACAGTTTATAATGCACTTTCACATCGTTTACCATGTTGGGTTCCCATAACAACTCCAGGCTTGGAGCCCAAAGCACTTCCAGCTTGAAAAGACCCTAGAGAACATTTAGTTCCAGCGGTGCCCCCAGGGGGTGGTACCACCCTCAGTGTGGGCAATTGGAAATGGGGGAGGGGCATTTTGGTTGTTACAGTGGCTGAGGGGGCTGTTGTGGGCATTTAATGCCTAGGGTCTGGGGAGGCCAAACATCCTACACAATGAATTCTCCAGCCCCAAATACCAACAGTTGAGAAACACTGATGATTGAGGTCGTTACATGTGCCAGTGAAAAATGGGGCTGATAGGTTAAATAGCCAGCCCACAACCACACATCTAGTTATCGTCTAACTCCTAGAACAAGGTGCTTTCCTCTGCACAATCATCTATTCAACCCCTGAAATCACACACAGCAACAATAATAGTCGACATGCGGTGTGTCTTTACTGTGTGCCATTCAGTCCTCCCAAGAGGACTGGCTTTATTAGCCCCCACATTGAACAGATGAGGAAACTAACGCGTAGGGAAGTGAAATGAACTGTCCAAGGTCCCCTAGTTAAAAAGTGACAGAGCTAGAAGGTGAACCCAGGCAGCCAGCCTTAGAGAGAGAGCTTTTAAGTGTTATGCCATGATCGAGACATCAGGACACGGACACACGATAGTTGCTATTACCTCCAGATGGAAGATCAAGAGACTGATTCTCAGAGGCCAAGGATGGGGAATTATCACACTCATATAGGAGCTTAAAACCTGAGGTCCCAAGAGGTCACATAAGGTCACACAGATAGTCACGGTCATTCCCATTTGATGAGATGATCTGCCCTCAGATCTGCACCTCAAATTAGCAGCAGAGCCAGGTGGGGTGCTTACAGGAGAGCGTCTGGGGGCCTAGTGGGGAAGGTTCTAGGAGCCAGGAAAGGCCCTCTCACCTGTATGTCTTATGCAGCTCCATGATCCTCTCCTCCAGCTCACGGGTCTGGTTAGGGGCGAAGCGGAGCTCACTGACATAGTTGCCCACATGCTCCTCAGCGTCATAGTCGCCCAGCTCAGCCTGCACAGCGTAGGAGCCCAGCAGGGCATGCGTGACGAAGGAGCAGGGAAGGCGGCCCGTGATGATGTCCGCCCGCAGCTGCAGGCACAGGTAGTATCTGGAGATAGGGGAGAGTGGGCATGGGCTCAGGGCCCCCTCCCTCCCTAGATGCCCGCAAGCACAGCTGTCCACCGATCCATCAGAACCAAGCTGACTGACCCTCAGCTCAGGGGGAAGGAACGATCCTCCGTACCGGCATTTCGCATGTCGATCATTTGGGTGTGTCTGACGAGATGGTTTTGCACCATTTCACACGACTTTAAGCATTTTTGTTCATTTCTAAGTTTGAGGGATGTTTCCTACTGTGGGAGTATTTTCAATCTCTAACTCATTTTCAAGCCAAACAGGATGACTTTGGCCTTTTTTTTTTTTTTTTAGTGTCATGTATTTTTGTTTATACAATTAATGCATGTCTTATTGTGGAAAAGATGTAAACTTTAGAGGTGACTCCAAACTTCCTCTTGACATCTGTTCTCAGTCCTAATCCCCTCCTTCAGAGGTCATCTCTGTTATCGGTGGTGTTTTAGGCCTTTTTCCTTCATGGACATGTAGAAATGCATGTGGCTTTGATTCATGGGTGTTTTCAACATGGACATGGCCTCAAATGCTACATCTGACTTATAGCTAGCTCTCTCACACCCAACTCAAGGCCTTAGAGCCCCTTCCCTGAGCATGAGACTTGACTCATTCATTTTAACTTCTGTACAGCACGTCCACAGCCCAGACGGACCCATTGCCAATGTTTTCTCAACACTTTTTATTTTGCTTCTAGCTCTAAGTGAATTCTCTAAAAATAAATTGGTTTAAAAGAAACATTTTCAGCCACCAGGCCATGATTTTTTATAACTTTTATGCATGCTTGGATGATTTTACAATTTTTAGAACCATTTAAAACCATTTTTTATTGCTTTTTCGGTTACAGTGTATTTAAAAAAAAAAAAAAAAAGTTTGGTCCATTCTCCGCCAGCAATGACTCCTTGCCCATTTTGCTATGTTTCGCCATTTTTTTTTCCATTGCCTGTTTCTTTCTAAGTGTCTTTTACTTAATATAAGTTTTGCTGCTCATGACATTATTTTACAGTCTGAGCTAAAGCTCTGGCAGAAAGTATGTGCAGCCCCAGTGTGTGCTCAGGGTGAAGGAAGAATCAGCAGCTAACTCAAACATCACACACACCAAATGTGAACCTACGGGCATTTTGTTCAAGTCAAAAAATTCGAAAATCACTGCCAAACAATCTAACCAATATTTCATTTCAATCAATTTGTCATTTTGATCAGTTTACTTCGGGCCTGAGTATTTTTGGCTAAATCACCCCACCCCCTGGGGTCATCCATGCTGGTCATCCAAGCAAACTTCCCTCCTGGGGACCCTGGAAGCCCAGTTCCTAGGGACTGGCACAAAGAGGCACCAGTGGGCGAGGCCAGAGGGATGAGGGATGAGCTGGTTTAAAGCTCTCAGCCCTCTTGGGAATGGAGTTCCGACTGCAGCTGAATCTTGGCCCCACGCCCACCTCAGGGCTAATGAGGCCCATCTATTCCAGAGACAGCTGTCTTATCTCCCAAGGCCAAAGTCAGTATCTTGACCTTGGACCGTTGCCTGGCAAACAGAATTAAGGAGGGACCCAGTGGGAGAGAGAGGCTGGTTCAGTAGCCCCTCACCTGCTGTAGGAATAACTCTAAGCCCACATCTTATTGTTGATGGGAGTGTAGGTCCCAGAGCATGGATGACACAACCCCAGGATATCATGAAGTGGGACTGTCTCTTTGGAAGGGGCTCTATCTGTTCTGGTTTGCAGAGGCAGGATGAGCCCCACAGAAGCTCTCATCCTGAAGGATGCTTTGCACCCCCTTCCAATCTTCCAGTCACGTTATCTAATGGCCCTGAGGCACAATGAGACTGCATGTACAATCCACGTGCACCCCAGCAGCCAGGCTTGCCTCCATGGGGGGGAAAAGGGGAGGGTGTTTCATGCCTATTTGACCCCCACATGCCTGACAAGTAAGTGCACAGAACAGCACACAGGACCAAATTCCCTTATGCAAAGCCATCTGCACTCTATTCTCTCCTTATTCCAGAGGTCCAAGGAACACATCGGATCTTCAGATGGGTCTGGCTGGTCCCACCCAGAGATGACCCACACCACGTTTTTCAAAAAGTTTTAATTAGTTGCCAACATTTAAAAATTGTAATTTTTATGGGCCAGCTGAGTGGCTCAGTTGGTTAAGAGCGCGAGCTCTGAGCAACAGGGTCACCAGTTCGATTCCCACATGGGCCAGTGAGCTGCGCCTGAGCTAAGCTGCCCTGAGCTGCCGACGGGCAGCCAGATGGCTCAGTGGTTAGAGCATGTGCTCTTAGCAACAAGGTTTCCAGTTCGATTTCCGCATGGGATGGTGGGCTATGCTCACCGTAATTAAGATTGAACATGGCACCTTGAGCTGAGTGGCCATGAGCTGCTGTCGGGCGGCCGGATGGTGACTGGACTTGGGAGCTGAGCTTGCTGCGCCCTCCACAACTAAGACTGAAGGACAACAGCTTGGCTGCCCCCCTTCCCCAACTCCCCAACACTGTTCCCCTTCCCCAATTCCCCAATATAATCTTTATAAATAAATAAATACTGTAATTTTTACTCTCAAATCTCTAGCTTCACTTCAAAAATCGGGCCCACATGGCCATGATTGCCTGAGCTGATGGCATCTGTCCTCTTGATTCACATTGGTCTCTATTGTTCCCTGTAACCCCTCCCACTCAGAAGTCAGGGGCCAGCTGCCACTGACCGCCGCGTTCGCGTCACTGTCTCTTGCACTGAGTCACTTCCTTTGTTGATGCTGTCTGCCTGGACCTGGTAGGCACCTGAGTTTGCACCTGCCATCATACACCACCCCATGTCTCCCACGGCCCACCACCTGCCCCTCCCGCCACAGCCCTCACCTCGTTATGTCTTCTGTCAGCTGAGCAGGGTCAGGGGGGTAGAACTTGACTGTGAAGGCAAAATTCCAGGGGCTGCCTGAGAGAAGAAGATGGGGGGAAGATCAGAGAGGGCCCCATCACCCCAGGTGGTGGCCCAAAGGAACCATCCCATCAGCAATTTTCAAAATCTTCTCCTATCTATAATCTCAGGACAATCCAATCAGGGAATCTGGGACATTATTCCCACTTGACAGGTGAGAAGACTGAGGCTCGGGTTACGACTTGTGAATAGGGTAGAAAGAAAGAACACCAACGGTGCATGCCAGCCAGGCACACCGTTAATTACTTCACAGACATTGCTGCATTAGACATCGCAGCAATCCTGTGAGTAAATCCTATGAGTGTCCCCGTTTTGCAAATGAGGACACTGAGGCCCAGAAGTAAAGTGACCAGCCCAAAGTCACCTCGCTAGGAAGTGGCGATGCTGGGGTTCAGACCCAGGTCACCCAGCTCCAGAGCCCTTGCTCCCTCCTCTACACCAAAGTCTATGCCACAGGACATTAATGGGAAGAAAAGAAGTCTAGAAAGTATATTAAACAGGTTTCCTAATGTCAGGCTTCTCAGAGCCCTCACTTTGCCATTGTAAACTGTACCTCTCTAAAGGGGACATGCATTCAAGAGTTTCCAAAACTTATTTGACCTGCTGTATCCATTTTTTATAAGGCAGATTAATGCTCCCCAAAACACATTTTGGAAAACACTGCCCTATACCATTTTAACTCCATCTCAGATGGCAGGCTTGGATTATAAACAAGACCGGAAAGGCAACTATGATGGATTAAAAGTAACAAAGGACATATCACAGGGATGAATGCTAACCTCCACTTGTAGATATGACAAATTAATGGTATATATATTGAAAGTAGAGAGAATTAAAGGCTGAGGTTTTAGCTGGAAATACGATCTGCAAGTCAAGGGAAGAAATGACCACTTAAGAAAGGGAGAAAAGTTGGTGGGGGGTGGGAGATGGGGAGGGAAAGAGGGCGGGAGGGAAGGAGGGAGAGAGAGAGAGAGAGGTGTTGATGAAAGGCTACAATCCAGAATAATGGGTGGACCACCTCTGGGACACTTCGGGCTCCATGCTCTAAAAAGGCCCCTGACAAAGTGAAAAAGCAAGGCCCATCCAGGGCTGGGAAGCAGTCATGAAAGGCTGGAGGCCATGCTGTCACTACTACGCTTGTCCCTGTGGTCGTCACCATCTTCACCATAGAGCTGTGATGTCTCCAACACTTACTAAGCACTGGGCACTTGGTTTGCTAAGAATGTTATGTGCGTGTATAGGAATTTAATCTTCATAATGACCCTGAGGTTGACTTTCCTTCACACAGATGAAGATTTTGAGAGGTTAAGTCACTCTCCCAGGGTCACTCAGCTAGTCAGTGGTAGAAAACAGAGGTCTAACCTCTGGTCATCTGATCTCAGAACACAGGCTCCTGACCACAGTTGAGGCCTTGGAAAAAGCAGCCTCAAGGGGGAACAATCCCTCTCTCGGAAATAATAATAATAATAATAATAATAATAATGGTAATAATAATGGTAATAATAATAATAACAATACATACTGGATGCTACTTGTGCAGGTACCATTTCAGGTGTTGTACACATAATAACTCATTTAATCCTTACAACCACCCTAAAGGTAAGTACTGTGATTACTCCCACTTTATAGATGAGGAGACTGAGGCACAGAGCAGTTAAATAACACAAGAAGTAGCTAGCGATGGACTCAGGAATCAAATCCAGGCAGTCTGGCCTCTTTGTCTCTCCTTTTAACCATCACTCCAGGCTGCCTCAGGGAAGCACCTGCTATGCGCCAGGTATTGTCCACCCATGCGGCATTTGTCACCCCCACCTTGTAAGGCAGGAATCATCAATCCACTTGACAAGAAGCAGGAGCCCAGAGAGGTGGAGGAATTGCCCCCAGTGCCCTAGGTGATGGGCACAGAGAAATCTACCCAACAAGACACAAGAACTTGTGGCGGTGCCACCTTCAGAAGGCCGGGGGGCCTGTCTCAAAGAAATAAAGGGGGTCAAACATTGGTCCATGGGGTTCCCAATAAACAGAATTGGAACAAAAGGGTGAAAGTCACAGGGGTAGGGACAGAGACGGTAGCCCCACTGAAGGAGGCAGTCCTGTTCTTTCATGACTTGAGGGGACTGACTCCCTGCCCTGGGGAGAGAGCTGACACTCCATGGTTCTGCCAGCTGCTTCTCTTTTCCAAGCTCCCGGTCCTTTGCAAACACTGCACACTGTATGTGTTCTGATTCTTTCAAGCATGAGGGCCAGGCCTCCCAGGCAGGCTGGGGCTCCTAGGGACAGCCTGAAGCCCGGGCCTTGGACCCTGTCGGCTCCAGAGGAGCGTGCTCCATCTGTGTGCCTGCCTCTTTGTCTCCAACTGACAGGAAGAATTCCTCGAGCCCCCTCCTGCAGAGTCAGCTGGCATCCCTGGGCCCAGCTGCCTGCTGTCATGGCAACAGGCTTGCTATAGCTTTTGAGCCCAGGGACCAGAGAGTCCAAGCAAGGGAGAGGGCTGTTTAGGCTTCGGGTCTCCACTTATTGCATGGCCCCTGGTTGAGGCCACCGACCTCCCCCTTCTGCCATTTAAAGGCTGCCCCATCCCTCCCAGCCAGCGTAAAGAACAGGTGGTCAGGCTGCTCACCTGTCTTTACCCCAGGCCTTGAAAAGACTGCAGGATGGGGTTGGGAGACCAGAGCTCAAGACCTGCTCAGCCTGGCTTGTTGACCTTGGGTAAATAACTGCTTCACTCTCTGGGCCTCAGGCATCCATTGTTAAATACAGGAGATGGCCAAAATCAGAAATGGGCCTAACTTTCTCCTGACACGTTCATTCCTGTCAGCTGGAGGAGGCTTTTTAGTGCTGTGTGGGCCAGGATTCCGAGCTGAGTCAATGGTCACCGATCACTGAAGCCTTCACCAGCCCTGGATAGGAGAGTGGTTGTTTTCAGGCCATCAGTTTGCCCCCTCATCTTAGGTGACTGCAGGTCCTTTCCAGTGGTGACATCCTGAAGGCATCTGTGATCCCTCTGCTAACCTGCTGTGTGACTCTGAACAGTCATTTCTCTTATCCCAGGCTCAGGCTCCTCATCTATAAAACAACGCCTGCCTTCCAAAAGGCTCAGACGTGGAGCAAATGAACTCATAGGTCTGAATGCACTTCCCAAAGTAGGAGGGCAGCAGCACAACTTCGGCCCTCGCGCCTGGAGCCCCTGCCCGCCCTCCCACCTCATTCCCAACCACAGCAGCCACTCACTCCGGATCTGCTTCTTGATTTCCTTGGAGGGGTCCAGCCAGTTCTGCAAGAAAAGATAGAGTTCTTTAGATGGAAGAAGGAGAAGAGGGCCCGAATAGGGCTGGGAGAGAGAAACATTCGGACAGCCCCTGGAGAGGAACTCCCTTCCCTGGCTGAACTTTCCAGGCCCTTTTCCTTGAAACAGGGAAGTGAAGGAATGAGGTCTGGATTCACCACAGGGCTTGGGACTCAGGGCCCTGAGGCTGGCCTTGTCCTGAGATCGCATGGTGAACAGGTAATGCAGCTGTGGTGAGGCTGGTAGGAAGGAGAAAACACACCAGAGCCTCCCAAGGGTGGAGCAAGTGCCTTAGTTCCCCCAGGGAGCCAAACCATGGCTCTCCAGATAGCCATCTGGAGATGACTTGCGGGTCCCCAAAAAAGAACTGGGGGAGGGGGGGTGGGGACAGAGAACCGAGGACAAATAGGACTGGCTGAGCCTTGGGGACATGTAAACAGAAGGTGCCTAATGAAGGTCTGAGGACTGATGGAAGCTATGGGATGCCATGAAAACTATGGGGCCTAAGGGAAGAGGTCTCCCCAACAGCAGGTCTCCCCTGCCAGTCCTGCTCCCCAGCCCAGGTACCTTCTGGCTGTCAGCATCACAGAAGGTCAGGCCAAAGTAGTCCTTCTCCAGGAGGTTGAGGTGCTCACAGACCAGGTCAAACAGCACCTGGCCCCGGCCATGTTTCTGAAGAGGAGAGCAAAGCAGCTGTGAGGCCAGAGCATACCTCAGGGTGGGGTGGGGGGAGATATCCCCAGCTCCACCAAGACAACCTGAAAACCCCAAGAGCCTTCCAGTGTCTGGAGAGGATGTCAGCACTCCTGCCACCCACCTGGCTCTGACCCTAACGCCCATGTCATCAACTGCCTTCTTCCAAACTCTGCTGGGGTCCTTCCTAGCCCTTAGACCTGCTTGGGGTGGGGAGGGGGCAGTTGGAGCAGGTGTGTGTGCATTTGTGTTGGGGGGGGGCAGGTGGGGGATGACTGATTTCTCCTTCCTTTATAGCAATTAAGAGAAGAAGGTTAGGGCCGGCTAAGTGGCTCAGTTGGTTAAGAGCGCGAGCTCTGAGCAACAGGGTGGCCGGTTCAATTCCCACATGGGCCAGTGAGCTGCACCCGAGCTGAGCTGCTGCTGAGCTGCCAACAGGTGGTAGGATGGCTCAGCTGGTGACAGCACATGCTCCTAACAACAAGGTTGCTGGTTTGACTCCCACATGGGATGGTGGGCTACGCCCATCTGCAACTAATATTGAACACGGCACCTTGAGCTGAGCAGCTGCGAGCTGCCAACGGGTGGGTGGCTGGATGGTGACTGGACTTGGAGTGGAGCTAGCTGTGCCCTCCACAACTAAGACTGAAGGACAACTTGGCTGTTCCCCTTCCGCAATTTCCCAATCTTTTTTTAAAAATATTTTTATTGGGAAATTGGGGGATGGGAACAACGCTGGGGAATTGGGGGAAGGGGAATAGACAAGTTGCTGTCCTTTTGTTCTTCAGTCTAGTTGTGGAGGACGTTGCTTCACTGACCCAAGTTGGCACCATTATTGTGGTCTTCCTGAGCGAGGCAGATCAGTTGCCGGCTTCTGGTTGGCCGCTCACGCTAGCTCCTGGCTACACATGGTAGCCCATGGCAATCCACTGCAGCAGGGGCTGCAGCCTACGCCGTCGCTGGCGACTCACGGCAGCCCAGCTCCAGGTTGAGCTGTTATTCAGCATCTTAGCTGTGAAGGGCAGTGTGTGTCACTGGCCCTCATATGTGGGATCCGAACCAGGGTCCTCTGGCGTCCCAAGCCAGCTCTTAACCACCGCGCCACTCAGCCGGCCCTCCAATTCCCCAATCTTTAAAGATCTTTAAAAAAGAGAGAGAGAGAGAGAGAAGAAGGCTATCTTGGACCCAAGGAGCAGAAAATGAAAAGTCAAAGCTTTGGGTATGAGAAGAACAGAAGAGCCTCCTGAAAAGCCACATGGTCCCAGGACTCAGAGTCACAGCTGTGACTCATCTTCCCAGCCCTTCCCCTTAACTAAGCCAGGGTGCGATCCAGGGCCGCCCAGCCTGGCGTGCCAGCTCCTACCTGGGCAGCAAGTGAGGTTTTATAGAAGCTCATGGGGCCTACATCAGCCTCAGCTGGAAGCAGCCCTGTTAGAGCCACCTTCTCCCACTCCCATCCAGCCAGGCTTAGTACCTCTCTCAACACCATCTGGGCCTGAGGTTCAGAATGACGAGGCCCAGAACCTGGCTGGATACCCAAACCCATAGGGGTGAAGATGAGCCTCAATACAGGAATCCCAGGGCAGGAGGAGGACAAAGTAGGCACTACTCGAAGAGGAGGGGCCTGCAGAGAGAGGATGAGGTCCCTGCAAGGTCTGGCTAGGTCATGGGGACTCGGACCAGGCCTGGCTGTGGAGAGCAGCTTTGGGAAGTCAAGATTCCTGAGCCTGGAGGGGTTCTTCAGAGGGAGTGGACCTGGCCTCAGCCCAACCCTCTGTGCTATTCCAGGGCAGGCAGACTGGGCACCTTGGGGCCAGTGTGGGCAGTGGAAGAGGCAGAAAAGGTTCCTTTCTTTTGCCCAGAAGTAGGAAGATGTTCATCCTGAAACCCTTCTACAGAAAAAAATAAACATTTAATACAAATAAAATAAAATAAAAGAAAACCAACCCTGCAAAGAAGAGGGACCAAGCCGCCCAGGGCTCAGACGTAAGTCACGTCCCTCAAGACCAGGGCAAGGGGCAGAAAGGGAGGTGGCTCCTGTAACTCTCAGCAGCCAGGCCGCCTTGTGGACTCTTCCATATACATGGGAGATGGCTGGGAATGGTGCCTACGCTGGGAAAAGCTTCAAAAGCAGCGAGTGAGAGTGCAGAATTAGGGTGGGAGTCAGAGCCTATACCGGAAAAGGGAGATGCTAAATGTGGGGCAGAAGGGCTGACCCCAGAGAGGAGGCATCTGCCCTGCCACCTGCTGTGGGACAGGACCATGCCACAGGGTTTCTACACGGCCTGGGTGAGTGCGTCCTTCCAATGGGCTGCCTCCCTATGCCTGAGGGACACCCTTACCATGGAACCTCAAGTGGCCAGTTTATCCTGAAGACCAGAGGAGGTGTCCTGGACAAGGTAGGTTCACAAGGGAGGACCCCTCTCTCCACCCAACAAATACATAAAGATGATTCTAGTTGAAACATCAGTATCTGCTGGGTGAGACTGAAAAGCCCAGTTCCTAGTCACACCGGGCTACAGATCAGCCCTTTGATGGTGGCTCCTTGCCAAGGTACAGCTACCCTGAGAAACCTTTTCCTGGTGCCAGCCTGGTGCCTCGTCTAATTCTATCTGCAATCCTAGCAGGCCTCTCCGGGCCTCGGTGCCACCATCTGTACGAAGAAGAGCTGGTCAGGTCATCTCTCTGGGATGCTGCAGTGGGTCTAGGCCTCCATAAGAATGGACGCTCGCTGGCCTGGCCCAGGCTGAGTGTACACAGAAGCCTGCCCTGGCTCTCGGGCCAGCTGGCCGGGAAGGGCGCATGTGGTATCGGGTGCTTCCTACCTCCACTTCACACTCATACTCAGAGGCATCGAGCAGAGTGACTCGGCAGATGGCACTCTTGTATTTCTTGGCGATCTTCTGGGGCGATTTCTGGGCCTTGCTGGGTGTGGTCCTCTCTGACAGGCCATCGGCCTCCGCATAGTCCTTCTCCTCCATGTCTAGGCTCTGTAGGTCCAACCAGGGAGAGAGTTTTGTTAGTAGGCTTGAAACCATAGCCTTTCGTCTAAATGAGATGCAATAATGAGGCAGCTGGGACTAAGACGAACCCCAAAATGAGAGCCACTGCCCTCCAAGGTCCCCGGGGTGACCAGGGTGTATGGTGGGCATGTGCAGGAGGGGGGCCAGAGCTTCCGTGTGCAATGGGGTGGCTCACATGAGGGGTCCACCGCTTCCTGGCAGGCTCCCACTGCTGTGGGCAGCCTCTGTAGGTGGGGGCATCCCACAAAACCAAACCCAGGTGGCCAGAGCTGTCGGGTCTCCCTAGAATGATGTGTGAGTTATCAGGGCATCCGTCTGCTCCCCTCCTTCTCGGTCTGTCACTAGGTCTAGCGTGAGGCTGGGGACTTATGGACTGATCTCATAAAGAGGAAAGGGAGATCAGAGCCCTGCCCTGTCAACCACTGACAACCTCAATGACCTTGGCCAACTCCCTGCCCTCTCTGGACCTGTCGTGAATGAAGGGAGGTGTGAATTCAATGGCTAGGTGATTCCCCCAAGTCCCTTGTAGCTTCAGGGTGATGAATTTTACTCTGGGGTCACACTGGGCTTGCCAAGCTAGAATGGATAGGCTCAGGGGTCAGGGAAATAAGGTTGAAAGAACATGGGTTTTCAAAATCATATCTAGATTCGACTTCCACCTCCATCACTTTATAGCAATGTGACTTTGGGTAACTCACTTCATCCTGCCGAGCCTCAGTTTCCCCAAGTGTAAAATGGGGAAATTCATAGCTACTGTCTCAAGTTTGGGAGAATTAAATACAAAAACGACCAGAACGCCTCTGGTACAGGGTTCGGCATGTAATGAATGGGTCAGTGATAATTCTTGTTTGCTCCTCTCCTCCCTCCTGAGGACTGGCCATGGAGGACTGGCTGGGCTGGGGTGGGGGGGATGCCCATGCTCTCAGGCACACACCTGTTCTGCAGGCCGAGTGTCCTGATGGGGCGGGTGCTTCTCATTGGAGTTGGCCTCCGGGTGGCCGTGGCCTGCGGGGGTCACAGGGGTGGTCACAGCAGCAGCAGCAGCAGAAGCAGCAGCAGCGGCAGCAGTGGCCTCAGGCTGCTGTGGGGCCTCCTCCTGAGCCTTCTTCACCTCAGAATCAGGGCCTGTCTCTGTTGTCATGGCGCCCAGCACGCCTGCATTGGCATGAAGGAGAACATGTGTGGGGAAAGGGGCAGCGATAGTATGACAGAGCAGAGTGAGAGGGGCAGGAACCACATGCAGAGAGAGACAGATGGAGACAAATGGACAAAGAGCCACAGAGAGAAGGAAGGAGGGAGGGAGGGAGGGAGAGACAGGAAGTAGGGATGGGGAGAGAGTCAGGAGAAGTGAGGGGTTGGTTAGTGGAGGCAGCTGAGGTCACAGGCTCCTCCCTCCCAACCTTGTGTCCATATAGCTCGCTCCTCAGGGACTCTACTCTTTTGTCCCAGGTCTGGAATGTGGACCCTTCCTAGGGATGATGTGAGTCTCTCCGGGGAGCTCCACTCTGCCAAGAGCACAAGAAGACGGTCAGTGACCACCTCCAGGTAGGGCCTCGGCCAGGCTGTCGCTCTAAGCACAGCAGGCCCTGAGCGCCCCACCAGGCTACTGGCACACAGTAGCCCCTCGATAAAGGCTGGATACACTGAACTCAACCAAAAGAGCCCTGGGCTCCAGGCCCTCCCAGCACTGACTTTAGACAAGGCTCTTCATGACCCAAGCCTCAATAATTCCTGCCCCACTGACCTCACACGGATGTTGTCAGGATGGATCCAAAGGGTAAGACAGGAAGACACGCTTAACAAATGCATAGCCCTGACAACGTAAATGCCAGGAAAACTGGGGCTGAGGCGCCAGGTTGGCCATAAATGGGGCAGTCACTTCACCTCTCTTGGACTCATTCAAAAGGCAAGGGGCTTAGAGAAATTATCTCTGGGACAGGCTATTCTTATCGCTGTCCCCTTGGAGCAGGAAATGAGATTTCGGAGAATCAAGGACCTATTGCCCAGCTAGTCTGTGGAATAAGCACACTACAAAGAGAGAAACGGAGAGAGAATGGCACGGTCCCATGTCATTTGTTAAAACAAAACAAAGCAATAACCTGAACAATACATCTCTGTGTTTGTACACATGTAGTGAAGAATCTGAAAGGATACTCACCTACCTGTTAAGAGAGTTTCATAGTTCAGAAGTGGACAAAGGAAAATGAGGGAGTTGCATCGGGTAGGATAAGAAAGGGAATTTCATTTTTTACTTGATACACTTTGGAAGTGCTTGTATAATTTTAAATATACATATATGTTTTTCAACTCACAAGTTGGGTTTTTTCAAGTGGGTGAAAGCACCCATTCTGACCCCAATCAGTGGAATCCTCAAAAAAAAAGTTTGGAACTAAAACCCAGGGAACAGAGAAATGGGCAGGAGCCCTCACCCCGGAGTCTAGAACCTTCCTCCAAATCCATCTGTCACTTACGTAACACCAAATGCTGACTCTGTGCTGGGACATAAATGAGAAAGATCTAGTGTAGACCTTGTAGGCCCCTCTCTGACCCCATCCACTATGGGAGGCCTCTGACGGGCAGACAGACAGACAGACACTGGATCCACCCTGGGGTCCCTCCCTGACCCCAGCCACCATGGGAGGCCTCTGATGGGCAGGCAGACAGACAGTTGGTCCACCCGTCAACACTGCAGCCACCTCCAGGGGCACCTACCTCTGCCCTACACTTCCTGTTTGCTTTTTCAGTTTCTCTCCCTGCAGTCCAAGGGGCACCAGCTGAGCCCAAAGCAAAGAACACTAGACTGAAAGTCAGGGGCAGTGAACACCCCACAAGAGTTCTAGGGCCCTGGACAGATCACAAGCATCTTTAAACCCCACCGAATGGATAATGAGTGGAATGCTTTGTGAGCTGGAGCTCGTAGCACAAATGAGAGGGTTTGTTGTTACCGATGGTGCGAGTAAGGCGTACGGCGAGGAGAAAGGGAAGGCTTTGTCCACGCTGCCTAATCTCCACCCAGAAATGCTTGCCACTCATGTCATCACCCTGGGCTTTACAGGGGTAACTTAAAGCCATAGTTAAATAAAGGCTCTCTGTCGCTTACGTGACACCAAGTGCCTACTCTGTGCCAGGACACAAAGCAACAGGAGCTGCTCCAGGGAAGCTCATGGCCTTGTAAGGTCAAACTGAGACTTGTCCGCCTGGCTCAGGATCTCTTGTTAGCCTGTACTGGAGAATATCGGCCATGATGCTAGATAAGGCCTATAGGGAAAAACCCTTAAAATAAATGCCTACTTAATTTTGCTTAAGGAAAAAAAAAAAAGAACCCACAGACTAATCTGTACGATTTTGCTGTAAGAAGCAGAATCCACATGACCCCCATGGGCCCAGGCAGCCCCGAGGCTCCCGTACATCTACTCCTTCCCTCTGCTTCAGTCTGCTTTCAGCTGGGGTTCTCTGAACCTTCCCCAGGTCTGCGTCTTCTAGCAAATAGCCCCGAGAGCAATCTTAAATAAATACCCCCGTCTTCCGCTGCCCGGGGCTCCACAGAGCCTGCTGACAGTGAAGACCTGGTGGGGGCAGAACCACAGACAAGAGGAGCTAGAAGCTTTTCGAGATAATTCAATCTTCTCTTCTTTTACAGGCGAGGCCCAGAGAGCAAGACTTGAATGACAGTCATTTCCTCAACAGGTTCTCCAGGGCCCCTCCGGCCCACTCTCCTCCCCACCCAACCTTCTGACTCCACAGATCCTCGCTCTGGGTCCATTTTTCCTTCCACTGCATTTGCTGCCTCCAGCAACCCTTAGCAGAATCTCCTCGAAGGAGGAAGCGCTGAGGTCCAAGGAGGTGGTGTAAGCCACCAGTGAGCACCATGGCCAGGGGCTGCTTAGACAAATGATGGCTCATCCACTCCAGAGAGTTAAAAAAGACGATGGGGAAAATCATGGAAAATATCAGAATGAAAAGTCATGATGCACAATAGTTTGTACCGATTGGCCCTATTTTGATACACACACACACACACACACACACACACACAGATACAGAAAACTCAGCAAAGTATTAACTGTGGTTGTTTCCAGACAATGAGAGTACAGATTATTATTTTCTCTTCTTTCTGTTTAACTGTAGTTCTCAGTTTTTCTATTACACTTGGAGGTTTGTTGATTTTCAAAAATTAGAGGTTAGGGGTGACCGGTTAGCTCAGTTGGTTAGAGTGTGGTGCTGATAACACCAAGGTTGCCGGTTTGATCCCCGCATGGGTCACTGTGAGCTGCGCCCTCCCTAAAAGAGTCAACTATGCCATTGTAGCATGAAAGCAATGTGTAACCAACGACCATAGCTGTTCCCCAATTAAAAAAAATTTTTTTTTAAATCAGAGTTTAAAAAATAAAACTTTTCCCAATGTAATGACTTGGTATGACAGGATGAGAAAGAGATAAAGCCTCATTAAATTTTAAAATATATATATATTTTTTTCTAACGAAAAAGAACGATAGTATTACTATATTTTTAAACCTAGGATGAGATCCTTCTTTATTTCACAAGTCCAGGGAGAACGGCATGGCTCTCTCACTATGCCACAGAGAGCGAGCCAAGAACCGGGCTGTGGCTTCTGCTACAGCCAGTCACGTGGGCACAGTTTTGCCCAGGCCCAGGTCAGCACAGGCTGATGGAGCCCGCTGGGCAGCCAGGCTGGCCACCCCCATAGGAAACCCAGATGAAGCATGTGCTGATTCTGTGGAGCTCACTGCAATATGGGAGAATGGTGCGCACCCAGGAAACAGTTACACTGGGCACGATGTGACTTAGATTTGCTAGTACATGTGTCAGCCCCTAGAAGATTCTGGAGACCTGGTGACAGAGACAATGGCTGGGAGTTCTCAAATCAGGGCTTATAAGGTAAGGAGTGAAGTGCAGTCAGGTATTAAAAAAAGGAAACATTTAGACAGGAGATGGCCGGAAGGGCATTTGGGCTGAGTCACCATGTGAGCAAACGTCTAGAGATGGGAATAGGTAGCACTGTGCGGAGGACAGACAGGAGGCCTTGACATCCAGAACAAAAAGCCGATACAGATGAGCTTCCAGCAGCTTGGCAGGAAGGACAGGTTGGTGTCAGGGAGAAGTGAAGGAGCTGAGGGTGGTACAGGAGTCAGAAGTGTGACCAACAAAAAGGGCAAGACCGCTGTCAGGGACTCCAGTCATCTCATGGGCCCCTTGTAGCACAGCAGGGCAGGGGCAGACCTAGGTCAGGCAGACCCAGACCTGAAGCCTGGCTCCACCACTAGCTTGCTCTGTGACCTTGGGCGAGTGACTCCACTTCTCTGAGTCTAGGTCCCCTTGTCTAGAAAAAAAGAGATACACTTCCCTCCCTCTCAGAGTGGTGATGGAAATTCAGGAAAATAACATCGAGAGAGTACTTAGCCTGGCTTGCACCCAATAAAACATCCCTGAGGAGGTCTATAATGACAAGCGGTAATGGGAAGCCGCAGTGGGGAGTGGTCCGAGAACCACGAGTTCAGAAGTGCCTGCCCAGAACAGGTGGAGAAAGAGATGCTTTCAGGGACGGAGGCCAGCAAGGCCTGACTAATGACACTAACATATGAAACCCAGAAAGCATAGGATTAGCAAAGAGAGAGGTCAGCCCCAGAAGTACGTACGTGCTGACGGTGCCCACGCCAGCCCTGTCTAGAGGAAGGGGGCCCGTGAGACCCGGCACGCTCACCTTGCCGGCCTGGGGCCAGCCCCGCAGGTTCTCAGTATCTGATGCTCTTCAACGTTGCAACCACCTGCTGGCCCGCCCTTCGGGGGCACTCAGCAGCCTTCACACACTTATGTCTTTCCCTCTGGGTGGCCTGCCAGGAGAGGGTGTCCTAGCCCAGCTGAGGCAATATCCGTTTGGCCTGCTGCTGTCGTACCACTCATTAAAAATGAATTGACAGGTTTATGTATCAGGCCCTCCAACCTGGGTTAGCATGAGTCAGCAGCCCCGAGTCCAGTAACTTGTATTTGTTCTTTTTCTCTATTCCCACAGCCACTGCTCAGGTCCAAGCCACTCTCCGCTCATGCCCCCACGGCAGCCCCAGCCGCCTCCACGGACTCCCTGTGGCCACCTGGTCCATCCTAGGGTTTACTCTCCCCAGCGGAGCCACAGGGAC